AGAAGAGGGGGGCCTGTCCCCACCCGACGCCTGCCCGGCCGTCCTGTACTCTGCCAAGCACTTCCCTGTGTTGCAGCCTACTTATTGCCAGGTCCACTTCCTCCTTGGCCCTCCATTTCCTCCCGGTTAGAACCTGGGCATCCGCAGCTCTCACCAGAGGGTCAGTGGACTCTCTTAGTTCCATGATCAACCGCACCTTCTCCTGTTTATATCCCCCGCTGATGGAACGTAGGGGCAGCTGAAGCTTGGTCTTGCCAAAGAGACCTACATCAGAAAGGCATCTTGGTAGCCCGAGCCATTTCCTTATGTACGAGTTTGCCAAACTATCCAACTTGCACACTGTGGAGGAGGGAACTTCACTCATCTTGAGTGGCCACATTATTCTTTGGTACAGTGTGAATTGGTAACACCACACCTTGTATTTGCCTGGGAGCTGACTGAGGTTGATCCTGGAAAGGCCATCTGCCAACTGCTTCTTCACGGCGTTCCCCATCTGTTTATCCGTAAGGTCTGCAGAGTAAGTTCGGCCGAGGCTCCGGACAGGCTGGCTTGACAACAAGGGGATTTCCTCACCGCCAGCGCTAAAGATGGTGCGGTCACTCCTGACCCCTTTCTGAAGGGACAAGCTTCGTGACTTTGAGGGTTTGATTCTCATTCTTGCCCACTCCACAAGTTCGTCAAACCTCTTGAGCAGTCTCACAGTGCATGGAGCTGTCTGGAGAATGGTGGTAACGTCATCCATGTACCCTCTCAGTGGGGGTAGCCTTTGGCCTGATGGCAACTTCACTCCTCCAACCACCTGCCTTGCCCCAATGAGGATGATCTCAAATGCTGCTACAAACAAAATTGGGGAGATTGAGCACCCCATGGCAATGCCAACTTCAAGTCGTTGCCACTTTGTGGTGAAGTCTTCGTGTGTGCAGCATATCTGGATGTCCTCAAAGTATCTGGATATCAATACTTTACAGGGATCAGGGATATAGAAGAAGTCCAGGGCGTATGTAATAAGTTGGTGGGGAACAGACCCGTAGGCGTTGGCAAGATCTAACCAGACGACATGCAGATCGCCCTTCTCCCTCTTCGCCCTCTGAATCTGTTCCCATATCACCGAGGAATGTTCAACACACCCTGGAAAGCCTGGTATGCCCGCCTTCTGACAGCTGGTGTCTATAAATCCGTTACGCGTAAGAAACGAGGTCATCCTCTTGGCCATGATGGAAAAGAATATCTTTCCTTCTACGTTTAGAAGGGCTATGTTCCTAAACTGGTCGCCCTTCTAAATATTAGAAGTTATATTATTATATAAATTCATATTTAGCTTTAATAAGGCTTTGAATTTTATTTCGGTTTTAATTTTTAGTATTTTTAGCACTCTAATTTTCATTTCGATTTTTTTATTTTTTTTATTTAATTAGAGAGAGAGAGAGGGAGAATTTCAGCTTCATTTCAATTAACACATTTATTTATTTATTTATTTATCACCAGTTTTAGTTATATTTTCAAAGAAGAATAATAGCACTTGTACTTGAGTTAGAACATAAAATTATTAGTTGATAGTTCCATTTGGTAATTAAATGGAATTAGCAAATATTTGAGTGCTCTGTGCTGAATATTTTATGCCTATTCTTGTGCCTTTAGCTTAGCGACATTCTACCATTTGACAATAGGAATCAATCAATTGTGTACCAAGTCTCCTGTGTGTTTCACATGATTGGTGCTACTTTGTGTGGCACACACGCTGTGAAGAACGTTCCAAATCTGTCACTTATAGTTCCCTGTCAGATAGAGGCTGTCAGCTGATGTAGGCTGTAGACAGCAAGACAGCTCACTCGGTTTTGGAACAAAGCTCCAGATTGAATGTGTCCTGTTGATGTTTTCAGAATTAGTCTATCCTCTCTTGGTGGCTAATGAATCTCTGAAACATTGCGATTGTTTCAGTTAAAACTGAACACTGACACACTCCCTCCTGCACACTAAAACAATGCATTACTGCATTGCAGATCCTTTGTATGTCATGAAGTGTTATGACATGACACTGTTCACACTATTTCAAGGCTGGCTTGCATTAAATATAAGCATATTTGAATAAAGTCAGGGAGATTAATGACAGCCATCTTGCTTGATGAATGATACTGTAGGGTTGGACAAGTCCTGCAATAATGCAGAAATCACTCCCCATTTGATATGTATCACTTATTTAAATGATGGAACAGATCCAGTGACGGATAATAAATTCACTCAAGTCAAAACTGACTGCTTCAATGGAGCTGTCATTTCAGTGTATACAACATATCATTGGCCAGGCTAATTGGTACAACTTGTTGGGCCCCTCTGAATTCTTTGATGATATAAGAGCAGCTGAATGGCCCCGGCAGACTCACTGACTGTGGCGGCTCTCCAGGCCTCTGCAGCCAGAGATGATTTATTGATGCCTACAGTTCTCATACCTTTCAAACCGCAATCTAATATCAACAGAGATTCTGCCAAATGGAGCAGATTGACCGTGACTGTGAAGGAGAGATCTGCTAAAACGAGGGCCACGGGTCCTCTGATCTGCCGCCTGACCGTGTTTACTATCACTTAAAGGGATAGTTCACCCAAACATTACAATTCTGCCATCATTTACTCACCCTCTGATATTTTCTTTTGTGTCATACAGGTTTGGAACGACACGAGGGTGAGAAAATTCTGTTCTTTTTTTGGGTGAAATATTATTTTGAAGGATAACAGGAGACAAAAGATGACCCGACATTTGTCCCGGTATCAATCCCGGGTCATGTTTGCGTTCACACAGAAGGCATTCTGGTAATTTCCCGGCAATTTCCCGGGATCAACGCGCTATGTGAAAGGGGCTTAAGAGACCCTGTTTACAATGGTCATTAACATTTTCATAGTCATATTTATGACCAGATCCCATGCAAGATGAAATCATTTATTGTTACTGTCACTTTAGTTTTAGTTTTAGTGTAGTTTTCATGGACAACCTCATTTCAAAAATTCAACCTCAGATTTTTCTGTTCTTTGTTTGGCGTTGCTTGTGTTTAAGAGCACACTGTTACATTTAATTAGTATTAATACTTGTTTGTTTCTTTGCTTTATTTATTTGTTTAAGTACACAGCTGCATTTAGATCCACTTGCCTTATCTCATCCTCATTGCCTGATCATAACTTTACAGTTACAGTAAGAGTTTATCTGGGACTAAAATAATTAGGATCTCAGTTTGGATGACATTAAAATTGAAATTGGTACATTTACTCAAAATGCAACTAGTAAAAAGGAAACACCCTAATTTATATATTTCAAACATATAAAGCACAACAATTAACTATATATTTTGGTTCAAAAAGGACATTTCTGCAGTGACTCATAAAATGAATCATTTACTCTTTGAACTAATGAACTGGTCAAATGAATGAACTAAGTGAATGAACTGATTCACCAATTCAAATTAATTGATTCACTAATGGATTACCTGCCCCGTACATATTCTACGATAAGCACACAGATATATTTGATCATAGACAACTTTTAAACTGGCTATCTTCACACTATATGCTGCTTTAAAAATGTACAGTGGTTCAGCCCAAAACAAAAGTCTGTCTTCATTCTGCGATCATTCTGTTGTTCCAAATTTAATGTTGTTTTGATATTCTTTGGAACGACTTAGGGTGAGTAAATGGTGACAGAATTTTGGTAAATGGTGACAGGACATGGACAAGACAATCCCAGAATGCACTGTGATGTGAAAAAGACCTGATCAATATAATACAGAATTCTTTCAATACTGAAAAGTATTGATTAAAAATAGAATTCCAACTAATGACTTTTACCAAATATTTGTGGTGTGTACTTTCTTGTGCTTGTGTCATTAGCTTAGCAACATGCAAATATTCAACAGTTGGAGTCAATTATGAATCAAACCTGCGTCCCAACAAACCTACTTCCATACTATACAGTTGTCGAAAAACAATATGTGAGCTGAGTAGTATGTCCAAATTCACAGTATTCATAAAACATTACCCAGAGATTCTGAAGTGTGCATCCTATGCACTGTAAAAAATATTTTCAAGATTTGTTATCACAACATAATTTCTTTTGTCAAATCAACTTTATAATAATTTATTTAGCTGAAATAACTTATTATTTTGAGTTTCTGATGGTTAAATTAATCTACTTCATTGTATTAACTCACTTTTTCCAGTTCAATCAACTTAAAATTTTAAGACAACCCAGGTTACTTACTTTTTTAAGTTAAACCAACAATATTTTTACAGTGTAGTGATCGCAACATTTTTTCTTTTGTCAAATCAACTTAAATAATTTATTTAGTTCAGATAACATAATTTTGAGTTTCTGATGGTTAAATTAATCTCCTTCATTGCATTAACTCACTTTTTTCAGTTCAATGAACTTAAAATTTTAAGGCAGCCAGGTTACTTACTTTTTTAAAGTTAAACCTTCAATATTTGTTTACAGTGTGGGCACTTTACTATCTCATGAGGCCACGGGAGAGGAGTTGGCCTTATGGGATAGTAAAGTGACGCAACTGACGCTGTTGGTCACATGATAGTTACAACATGGCAAATATAGAACATCCAAATTCCATTCATACACACATTCATACTGTATAAAACATACTTTTTGAATGATTATGCTGTAAGTTTCTAACCAAATGTAGTGCTTACTATACTATACAGTATGCCATTTTGGACGCAGCTCAAGTCTCCTGTGTGCTCTGTGATAAAGCTGTGTGCAGCAGAATATGATATTAAAACCATGATGTTTGTGATGCTATAATGATGTGAACCCTGCCTTATGTGACACTCCTGAAAAGTTTAATAAATACTTGCTAAAAATTACATTCAGAAGTTCTGTTCAGAGGGTGTCCCGTGTGTTTTCATCACATTTGTGATGAGCAGATCCAGGGAACACGGTGAGATCAACAGAAGGATTTGACGTCGTAGGTGAACCTGTTCAAAGATCTGCTTCTGTTCCACAGCTGTCAAAACGACGTGTCCTCCAGAGAAGTTTGACTGTGGGGGAAAGTGCGTGTCGCTGTCCTGGCGGTGTGACGGGGAAAGAGACTGTGAAAACGGCGAAGATGAAGCGGACTGTGCAGCAGGTGAGTCTGCTCTCTTTCTCTCCGACTGTGTGTTTGATTCTCCGCAGGGAGTTTTGTTCAAGGCTGAGGTGATACTTTGAATGGGGCTTTCAACCAGTTCTGTGGATCTGCTTCATTCGTGTCTCTGAGAGTGAGACCTAGTCAATGGTTTATATTCAGAGCACTCTTTTTTTCTTGTTAAGTCTATGTTCTCTTTTTTATTGAAACTCTAGTACTGGACAATTACATGTTGTTTGGACAATTGTAGTTCTAGACAGTTACAACTGAGAGTCAATTATAGCTATTCATTTAGGTCTGCGTCTCTTGTGTAATTATTATATTTACAAAGTGTTTGCAGAGGTGGAGCATTGTAACCAATTACATATATGATATTGTGCGCTTGAATGTAATAATGAGACATTTATCTGAGTCTACAGATCAATTAGTGACAGTATTTTTGAGTTTTAAACAGTCTGATCCACAAGCGTGTGCTGTATGTTTTATTTAAACTCCCTCTATAGTCAATACTTCACTAAAAATTACTTCATGCCTTAATTGCCTCATTCCTCATATATGCCCCATTCATTGCATTTCAATGCAACCCATGCCTCATTTAATATACATGGTTCAATGAATATGCAAATTAGCCCTGCCTCCATTCACTCACACCAGCCAGAGATCCACTCGTTGACGATCACATGATGACTTGATTGGTTACAAGGTAGTTTGTGATGTCAGAAACACCAGCGATTTCAAACCGTGTTTTTGAGACTGCGTGAGCTTAGAATTATAAGGTTCTATCTCCACTTTTGGTCGAAATTGAGTTTTTGACATAATCTGATCCATTAGGTGTTTCTTAATGCCTGTGTGGTGGTATTTTTGTAAAAGATTCATAAATAAAGCTATAATAGAAGATTATACTACATAACAGTTTTGCCAGCTGGGATGTAAAAACTTTGATGCTCAATATCTCAGAACTACTGTAAACTGTAAAGCGCACGACTGCCTTTGGTTCACTGCAGTTTTAGGGAGAAAATACTCAGCAATGGTGTTGCCTTTGTGTTCAATTTGTACATGGTTTGTCTGAAAGCATATTAAAAACGCCTCATAGACATATAAACAACACTTTTCTGGATTTTCACCACAGGGGGACTTTAACCCTCTGGCTCTGTTTGGTAATTAAATTGCACATTTTGATATTTTTTTTTTAACTTGTTGACTTTACTTGCTATGTGAACACACACACATTTATATACTTTATTTGATTCAGCATTACAAGTCATATTTCAGTTGGAATTAAATTTTTGTAATAATCCAACAGATTAAAGCAAATCAGCATATTGTTATGGATTAAACTTTCCGTTTCAGAAATCCCCCCAATGCAAAGTCCACGGACCGCCAGCTTGTGTACATGACCTAGACTACCAAACACTAGAAGCTGACATTTGTACCCAAGGTTCTCAGTGGTCGATATCAATGACTGATATTTTAGAATCTTTGAGCAGTAAGAGTCCTCCATAAACAGATCAAATGCACACAACATCTCAAATAGTGTAACTTTTTTGCCATTCTGAGAGATGTTAACAATATCGGGTGTATAGCAGTTCCTAAATGGGAGGAGGGAAACCACAGTCATAAGTTGTATTTTGAAGGAAGAACCTGCAGACGTGCTTTGACACCGAAAGTGAGGATCTTCTCACTGATGGTGGCATTGCTGTAGATGGTGTGTGATCTAGCGGTGGGCAGTTTGCCAACTTTCCCTGGAGTTTCAGACTGGACCAAGACTCCATATTTTGGGCTCTATGAATAAATATGAGAGTCTGCCTTGATGTTCTAGGCTGGAGCAGGTGAACAGTGTTGTTATGGTGTAGCCTGGCTTCCACGATGACAGATGGGTTCTCTACGACTTCCAGCATAGGTCGTTTAAGTCTGGCCAGTCTTAAACCAGACACTACCTGGTAGATTGTGTTGGTCATTATGGAAATTATCTGGCTGCGTCTGTTCTTTAATTTGGACGTCATCAGTAGATCACACACAGAACTTTTCACTGTAATTGCACTCTCATGCTATATTACTTCCAAATATTATTGAACTAAAATGCAGTACATTCATTTAATTAAAAAAACTGTTATGCTTATTGTCTTGAGTCTTTTTAAACGACGAACAGTACAAGTGTGTCCCCCCCCAACATCACTTGACAAGTTCTATAACTGAAGTGAAAAAAAAAAAAAAAACATTTGGAATTTGCGAGTATTTTGAATTTGCTAAATGTTGTCTGCATATACATCACAAGTCAGCGATGTGACAAAACTGCAACTTCCTCATAAATCAAGGCACAGACAGTGTAAATAAGAGTTCATTCTGCAGTGTGGACAGCTTCATTTATTGTAGGAGTGTTTGTGAGGGTTCAGGCAGTGAACTCTTTCTGAACTGCTGCTAGCTATCGTGTGAAACTGTGAACGGCTTCAGTAATGTTTATGGGATGCGACCATTTTAGTACTCACAGTCTGCATAATTTATTCAGCATTAACAGTTTTCCTTGTCAAGCTGCTGAAAGTCTTAATGTGAATTGTCTTGATTGAATGTTTCGCTACATTATAGAGCTACATACTGTACATTATAAATTCCATTGATTTAAATAGGCTAATTGTTAATACAGTATCAATGGAAGTAACATTTGTGATTTTTGCCATAATCATGCTGCCCTAGTTTTTTTGTGTTGGTCAGACTTCAATTGACTGTTTATCTTGTATTTATGTTTAAAGTCATTGCATTATATAGAAGTTTATCAAAGCAAGTGACATTTATTTGAAAGAAAGCATACTTTTGGTTTTCAGGGTGCATTGTGGGACTTTTTTTGTGAGCAAACGTTTCAGTGCACTGGCAGGATTTCACGTTTGTGGCCCCTGACCAGTGCCCTGACTTCAGCACTAGGGAGCTAATTGAGACGCATCCATAGGTACTGTTCAAAATGAATGAAAAAACCCTGGTTAGTGGATCATGTTAGTTAATGTGATGAACTACACCTGTGGTTTCTCCTGTGTAACTTGAGGAGCCAATGGCTCCAAATGCCAAAACCATTCAAAAAGTCAAGCTATTCTAAGAAATAATGTAATATTATTTGTTTGCAGATGCAATTTAATTAATCTAATGCATTCATTATTTAAGTGTGCCTTAGACTGTATAGCTTAAACTAAAAATGAATGCTTTAGGCTGTGGTAACAAATAAGTATTCTTAAGGAGAAGCAGATCCGGCAAAAATATGTCCTTGACATCCTCGCCCAAGGTTGTCTTGATAAATTGTCTGGATTCTTGGGCATTGACGTTAGTGGCAGGGCTCATACTCATGTGTCGTGCTCAATGAATGTTTCAACACCTTTGGTAGGAGGTGCTTGAGCTCTGCTTATTAAACATGGTTGTTTTACCTCAGCCAATCAGGTGTCTTCACAAACCCCCGCTGTGAATCTCACTGCCCTACTTTTGAGAAGCTGTGAAAATTGACTCTTTCAGTAGCTTCCCTTTCTCCTGCTCTTCATAATAATATTTCTCCACTCTCTGTCTTTCATTAATGGCTTCTCACACTGCCTCATTTTCCACAATCTCTCTTCCTCGTCTTCCAATTCTGCCTGTTAAAATAAAGTCTTGTAGTCTTGCAGGTGATAAAATATCATAATCTTGAGCTACATATTTTATATACCACATACAAATCACATTATAAACTTATGATAATAATAATATACAATTAATACAATGACTAAGTAAAGTTATATTACTATACAAAATAGTTTACAATAAGGTTCCATTTCTTAAAATTATGAAAAATACTCTTTTTAATCTTATTTATCCCTCAGACGGTCTTCGGTCCGACCGGAACCGGAAAATTTTCTGTTTTGAATTTCTAAAAATCACAGCTTCATCGGAATATTATGAAACTTGGTGACTTTTATGGCATTAGGTATGTGAATACAAAAAAAAAAAATGAGGTCATGATCCGAGCGTGCTAAGTGGTCGTAAAAAAAAAAAAAAAAAAAAAAAAAAATAGTCACACTTGTGGTCTTCGGTCAATTTTTTTTTACATTTTTTAATAAGAAATCGTTTTTGAGATTGTTTCAACTATATATTCAAATCCACCAAAAAAAAAAGTGTTCATAAACAGCTGGGGAATTCAAATGCCTCTCCATAGAGAGCTGTACGTGGCATCTAGTGGTTACACCATGATTCTACGCTTTTTCTCTATACTGTAACTAGGGATGTCCCGATCCGATCCACGGCATCGGTATCGCGCCGATACCGGCCCAGAACGCTAGATCGGAGATCGGAGGGGAGAAAAAAATATGAGCGATATCCAGTTTAGCGGCGCAGCCTGTCACGTGATGACTGTTGTGTTTACGCGCGTCAGAATCAAAATCCGTTGGCGGTCATTGTTTTTATGTCGACCGAGCATTCATCAAGAGAGTTACCGCTCTGTATTTACTCTGGATAGCAGAACAGCGGCGTGGGGATCATCGTCGCCGTATATTTGTGTCCACCGGACCCTTCGGAGCCGAACCGTTTGGCGAGTTTCACCATTTGCTCGCTCCAGGAGCTGCGCTGGATGACGGCCGCTGTCAGCGGTACTTCCGCCTGTCACGCGCCCAGTTTGATGACCTGTTGTCCCGCATCTGAGCGAGGATCACCCTCGCCCGGCCCCTCATCCATCTAATCTAGCTGTCATTTATTTTTGTTTTGATAATAAATAGAGCCAGCCTTCAAAAGATTTTTTTCTCTCTCTCACGTCCAGACACGAATTTATGCACATATGTTGATTGTCTTTACAACATAATACTATTTCTAGATATGGAATGAATAACATTCAATACAAAATGAACATGTCTCCATATAGAAATAATGTTTTAAGTGATGAAACATTTGCTTTGTTGTGCATAATCCCACCATGCATTTAGTCATATTAACAAAATAATTTATTGAAGCATCCAGACACTTCACCACGTGAGCAAGCAGCTAGGCTCCTGATTGGTTAACGCGGCGCGAATTCACGCCAAAGTTCAGCCAACTTGACGCGCGAATGAGGCGTATTTGCGTCTTCCGCGCCGCGCTCCACGCCTCATTCGCGCCGCAGGAATTTTTCTTGCATTGACTTAACATTGAAATCATTCGCGCCTGACGCCCTATTCGCATCCGGTGTGAACGTAGCATTAGTGCGTCGAAGTTGTGATAGCGCTGTCGGCTAACGCGAAATGTACTATTTACATTCCATGGATGTTTATTCATATTGTTTTGGACTAAAAACTTCTTCAAATTGGATTGTATGGACGCTTTACAGTGAAACCAAACCATTTTTGTTGGAATGTGGACTAACAGATGGCTAATTGGTGAGTTTCTTCCAGTTTGTGTTGGTTTGTTTTGGCTGTTGGTGGTCTGACAAAGAGACAGATTGTGCCCGCTGTGTTGATTGTATCTTAAAATGGTTTACGTCGTTCGAATCACGAGTTTCTCAGCTTTCCAAAGATATGTATTATGTTTACTTTTGTGTTTGTTTTGTTTTGTCTTTCACAAAGTTAAACCTATAAACCACCCTGTGGGCCGTATACGGCACGTCGGACCACGAAAAAAAAAATATCGGACTAATATCGGTATCGGCAAAAGCCAAAGGTGCGGCATCGGTATCGGTATCGGAAGTGAAAAAGTGGTATCGGGACATCCCTAACTGTAACCAGATGGTGCTAATTATCTTCAAAAAAAAAAAAAAAAAAAAAAAAAAAAAAAAAAAATATATATATATATATATATATATATATATATATATATATACTGTATATATATTTTTCTGAAGGCCTAGACTCTATATTAAACTAAAATACTGCATTAATAATTTTTTTTAATTATATATATATTTTTTTTTCCATGGCAAAAATAGACCATAAATATTGCATAAATATTAATAAATTCAATCAAATTGTCTCAAAATACTAAATTAAAAAGAATAAATTTTATAGAACAAAAATAAATTGCATTGGTTTTACTGGGATAAAGAAAATTTCATTTTTAGGTGTCCGGTCACTTCTGACATCCGAAACGAAGACCATCTGAGGGTTAATTTCAACATTCACTAATATATTATTAAAATCAAATGTTGCATCTGTTATTATTATCATTGAAAATGAGCAATGAACAGTTGTATTTTTAACTAACATTAACAAAGATGAATAAATTATATAACAACTGTAACACTAAATTATGCATAATTACAAGTAACTAACCCTAAACCAAACCCTAACCGTAATAAGTACATGTAATTAATTAATATTACACAGTACTTATTTGTGTAAGTACAATATATCTACATCACCTTAAAATAAAGTGTAACATCATATTATTATGAAAAAACGTATTCGCTTTATTATATTATTATTGAAAAAATACGAAATTGTAGAAAGTCTGTCTGACTGTCTACATTCGTGATTGTGTCCCTGAGTTATTTAAATTATGATTACAGCCCAGCTATTTTATTTAAACAGTTTCTAGGGTTATCTTTAGTTAACTTTACATAATTTATTATTTCATATCTGTCTGTGTTTTGAATAATTTGTTGTCTATCACGTTTCTGATTATGATCTGGTCCCTTTACTAGCCTACGCCTGTAAATTGTAATTAACCTGGAGGTCATCTCTGTGGACACACTCTGAGGAAGCATTAGTGTGTCAACATTTGTAACGCCATTTTAAAATCCTTTACTGAAAGGCCATTTAAATAAAGGTGTTTTTTTTTTTTAATTAAACACAAGACGTGATATAGTTTAAATAATACAGAAAATTGAAAACCAACCTGCTTCTGATCCTCCTTTGTTGCAAGTCAATTCCATCTGAAACATAAAAGACTCTTGCAATGTCACAAGATATAAATCAGAATGTTAATTGCCCTATTAAGAGCAAACGAAAGAGCCTCCAGTCATTTTTTCACTCTAGGGGGTGGGAGATGATAATTCATATGTGTTAAAAAACCTGGCGAAACACAAAGGCTAATTAATCACTATGCATCTTCAATAGCAGCCATAAAGACATTTTGGATGGATGGGCTAGCATGGTTGTATGTTTTCCAGATTCTTTTTTTGTTATCAATCAGTGTTTTATTCAGCCGTCCTCATCAGAGGCTCAAGTCTTGGCAGCCCTGAGCCATTCTTTCCTCCTGTAGAGGTAATCATGATTCTATTTTCATCAAGCTAAACCATGAGCCCAGGCATTCTCTGACTGCTCAGACTCCTGATCAGTTCATCCGTGCCAATGTCAGAGTATCGAGCCAGGAGAACGGGAGTCCTGACTCAAAATGATATTTCACCTGGGTCTAATGATAATTGATTTCCTGTCTTCCTTTGTGAGGTCTGCACAGTGTAATACACCTCTAATTATCCACTGTTGAAAGCCTCATAACTCGAATCTACTTCAGTGATGCTCTGACGGCATGTCTCAATGCATTGCATTCACACAAAGTGCTTGTTTCTCAGTATTGCATCATTTCTTTTCCTGTTGTTTTGACCTATAGTACCATAGGGTAAGGCTAAACAATCATTTCCTAGCTTTTTTTTTTGTGTGTTGCTTCTATATTATATATGCTATTTATTTATTTATCTCTTTGTCTATGTTCGATATGAGGAATGATTTGAATGATTTGCGCTTTCTCATAAAGAGGCTTTTGTTTGTTTTCAAATTTTGAGTTCATGCACTATGGAGTATCTGTGTGTTTGGAAAGTTTTACGGAATTTATTCAATTACACAATTTTACAGAAATTATCAAAACAAGATTAAACTTCAAAAACATAAAATATCAATTTTTTTCTGGTTGTGAGGGGAAACCTATTTAATGCATTTAAATGTGGTACAACATGGATCCCTAAAGAAATGGATTTATGAGAGAGAGAGAGAGAGAGAGAGAGAGAGAGAGAGAGAGAGAGAGAGAGAGTTCAGTGAGTGAGTGAAAATGAGAGTTCAGTGAGTGAGAAAGAGAGAGTTCAGTGAGTGAGTGAGAGTTGAGTGAGTGATTTAGTTAGTTGAGTGAGTTAGTGATATAAGTGAGTGAGTTGAGTTGAGTGAGTGATATGAGTGAGTGAGTGAGTGATTGATATAAATGAGTGAGTGAGTGTGTGAGTGAGGGAGTGAGTGAGTGAAAATGAGAGTTCAGTGAGTGAGAGAGAGAAAGAGTTCAGTGAGTGAGTGAGTGAGAGTTCAGTGAGTGAGAAAGAGAGAGAGTTCAGTGAGTGAGTGAGTGAGAGTTCAGTGAGTGAGTGTGAGTGAGTGAGTGAGTGTGTGAGTTAGTTTGTTGAGCGAGTTAGTGATATAAGTGAGTGAGTTGAGTGAGTGATATAAGTGAGTGAGTGAGTGAGAGATAGTCCAGTGAGTGAGTGAGTGAGTTGAGTGAGTTGAGTGAGTGAGTGAGAGATAGTCCAGTGAGTGAGTGAGTTGAGTGAGTGAGTGATATACGTGAGTGAATGAGTGAGAGAGAGTTCAGTGAGTGAGTGAGAGATATAAGTGAGTGAGTTAGTTAGTGATATAATTGAGTGTGTGAGTGAGTTGAGTTGAGTGAGTGTGAGAAAGAGAGTCCAGTGAGTGAGTTCAGTGAATGGTGTTACAGAAGAAGTCCAGATCTCACTCAGAGACACAAACACCATGCAGTTCACGTATGAAGAGCAGGTCCTGCAGCACATCACTAGCTACAGTTGTCTGGGCATCAAAATCTGTGCTTCGGGATGCTTCGGTCTGGTGGTCAACACACTAAGCGAGAAGGCTCTGAGGGCTTTTTATGCTATAAAGTCTCGATGCAAATTGTAGAAAAAAACTATTGGAATTTGACAAAAACATTTTAGGGGTTCACAGTAGCATGTCCAGGGCTGAATTAGGCTTGTACCCGCTAAATATTGAGATCCAGAAGAGATGTGTTCAGTTCTGGCATCACCCCCATCAGTCCGATCCAGATTCACTCCAATATAAAGCCCCCTCGCCAATGAAAACTCAGAATATCATCCTCTAAACACACTTGCTCTTCAACTCATCCATCAAACTCAACTCCCCGTTGACTACAGCTACAACCCCAAAACTAGCTGTCAGCTGGTGTATATTTCAAGGAATAGTGACTTCCGGTTTGGCGCTGCTCTGTGGCTGCCTCGCTGCTTTCACGTTAGGCATTTGTTTTGTTTGTCTGTCTGTTTGCCACAACATGGATCTTGTTTTATGGTATGTGATTGGACTGCTTGTTATGATTTTAAACACATACTTTGCTCAAGGAAGCAACTTCGACAATGCTGCTGGCGGCGGCAAACCCTGTGAAATACGATACAGCAGAGAATTCCTATTGCTGCTCCGCAATCACATCCCCCCGGACTATTTAACTGTGGACTTGATACCGAACTGTCTCAAATCCAATCCTAAGGAAGGGAATAATCGGTCGAAACGTAAACGTGGCCGTAAGAGTGGTATTCGACTTCGACTGAAGAGGATGAAAAACAAACTCCCTTTACCTACTACACTGCTTATCAACGCGCAATCACTGAGAGCGAAGACAGAGGAGTTATCGGCTAACACCCGCTTCCTGTACGAGTATAGGAGCGCGTGTGTCTTGGCAATCACTGAGACTTGGCTGGATAGTAACATCGCGTCCAGTGAGGTGGAACCTTCAGGTTTCTCGGCGTTTAGGACCGACCGAGACCCCAACATCACCGGGAAGGCTCGCGGAGGCGGAGTCTGTTTCCTCATCAGGGACGAGTGGTGCCGGGCAGTTACGGTGAGAGAGAAACTTTGTACTCCTGACATCGAGCTGCTGTGTGTTTCTCTGCGACCCTTCTATCTGCCAAGGGAGTTTCCTCAAATTTTCCTTACAGTGGTATATATACACCCAAAGGCAAATGTCAACAAAGCATCAGAGATTCTTTTTAACCTCTCACAGAATCTGGAGTCACTTTCACCTGATGCTCCTAAGTTCATCCTGGGAGATTTTAATAACTGTTCCCTTAAAAAACATCTACGCACATACTATCAGTATGTTAAGTGTTTTACTAGGAAAAATAAGTCTTTAGACATGTGTTATGGAACCGTCAAAGACGCCTACACAGCATCCCAGCTACCACCACTAGGGGCGTCTGATCACACTGTGGTTCATCTTCGGCCTGTCTATAAGAGGTTACTGGAGAGGGAGAAGCCTCAAAAAAGGTCTGTCAAAGTGTGGAACAATGACAGCATTATGGCTCTGCAGGGGTGTTTTGACTGTACAGCATGGGATGTCTTTAAGAGCCCTGATATTAATGATCATGTTGTAGCAGTGTCTGATTATATTAACTTTTGTGTAGATTCTGTGATACCTACTAAGTCTTTTAAAGTATTTCCTAATGACAAGCCATGGGTGTCAAACAAACTAAAGAATCTTATAATTCAAAAGAAAAAAGCTTTTAGAAATCAGGATGAAACAGCGAGAAGGGACTCACAGAGGCAGATTAAACGACAAATACAGCTGGATAAGTATAGCTATAAACAAAAGATAGAGGCCACTCTGGCATCTGGTAATCCTAGAGAGGCATGGCAAGGAATTAAAATTATGACCAATGTTCCACACAAGGGCAGGGGAAATTCTCCACTGGTTTTGCAGAGTGATGAACCTGATCTGGCAAACCAGCTAAATACATTCTTTTGTCGTTTCGAGAGGGGAAATAGTATGGAAGCAACCACTGGGTTACCCCTTCCACTCCCTTGTCTCCCTCTCTCATCTAACTTCACCATCAAGGAATCAGAAGTCCTTCAGCTTTTTAGGAAATGTAATTCTCGGAAAAGCTCAGGACCAGACAACATATGTGGAAGGGTCATAAAACATTGTGCTGAACAGCTAGCACCAGTGTTCACTGACCTTTTTAGATCTTCTTTTAACCTTCACAAGGTCCCAACACTATGGAAAACATCCATAATTATACCAGTGCCAAAAACTCAGCGACCCACTGGACCAAATGACTATCGACCAATTGCACTAACGTCGCTGGTCATGAAGTGCTTCGAGCAGTTAGTAAAGAGGTACATTGTATCTGAAACTCAGCATCTCTTGGACCCCTTGCAATTCGCCTATCAGGCCTCCAGGGGAGTTGAAGATGCCATTGGGACACTATTGCACTTATTGCACACTCACCTTGAGAAACCAAAGACCCACGCTAAGATTTTATTTGTGGACTTTTCCTCGGCCTTTAATACTATCCAGCCCAGTATTTTGGCGGATAGACTGGCCTCAGAATTTTCACTTGAACCTGGCTTGATTCTTTGGATTGTTGATTTTCTTAGTTGTAGAATCCAGCAGGTCAGGACAGGAACTTCTCTCTCGGTCAAGATGTCTACTTGCACAGGCTCTCCTCAGGGATGTGTTTTATCTCCTTTATTGTTTATTTTATATACGAATTCTTGTACCAGCACTTTACCAAACAGGCACCTTATTAAGTATGCAGGTGATACTGCTTTGTTGAGTCTACTGTATGATGATGAGGAGGATCATGGGCCAGTTCTTGACTATTTCTTAAATTGGTGTGAAAAGTCAAGCCTCCTTCTAAACACCACAAAAACAAAAGAAATGTCCATTGATTTTAGAATGACACAATCATCAAATTTAACTTTTATTAACGGGGAGGCTATACAATCGGTTACAAATTATAAATATCTTGGCATAGTGATTGACCATAAGCTTAAATGGGATCTGTGGTCTGACCTCATCAGTACTAAGACTCAACAAAGAATGTACTTTTTAAAGAAATTGTCATCTTTTAATGTTCACAACAAAATGCTTCAGATGTTTTATTCTTCTTTTATTGAAAGTGTGTTGGCCTTCTGCATCATCTGCTGGTTTGGAAATGCTACTGAGGCACAGAAGAAGTCTGTAAGGAAAACAGTAACACTGGCCAGTAAACTATTAGGGATCACGTTACCAAGTGTGGAATGCATTTACAGGGAAAGAGTAATGAACAAGGCAAAAACCATTGTGGGAGACAAGAGGCACCCTCTTGCCTCTTCATTCGAACTACTGCCTTCTAGGCGACGGTACTGCCTCCCTCTATTCACTAAAAATAGATCAAAGTCTTCATTTGTGCCTCAAGCAATTAAGCTTTTAAATAGCTAAGTTACATAGGTATAGGATACTCAGCTGGTCTGGTATTGCTTAAATCAAATAGGTAGTTAATAAGTGTAGGGTATGTGGAATTATGGGCTAAGTGTAGTAGTATGTGTCTTTGTATTTTTTCTTTTATTTATTTATTTTTGTGTGTGTGTATGATGTATGTCGTATGTATGTTGAAATGCCTACTTGATTGCTATGCAAACAAATTTCCTCACGAGGACAAATAAATGTACTTACTTACTTACTATTATAAAGAAATCGACACAAATCTAAAAGACACTCATGATGAATCATTAAAAGCATATTTTAACCAATGTTGACCAAACTCCATGTTATAATCTACCCTAAAAAGAACCACTAAATTGGCCAATTATCTATTAATTAAACAATTTAAAGAAAGACAAATCCTCTCCAAATACAGATTAAGACCATGATCTAGAAATAGAGAGAGGAAGACATAGACACATTGGACACAGAGAGAGAGCAGAGAATCTGACACTGTGATCTTTCTACTCATCTGTACTAAATATATCAATGTAAGAGAAACTTTTCTGCCCACATTTGTAAAATTTATTCCATCATTGATTGATGAATGATACTGAGAAAATGATAACACAGCTGCACTAGCTGCTACAGTATGTGTTAGCCATCCACAATGTCAGAGACAGTTGACAACACTCTAGAGAAACCCGCTTTATTTATTCATTTATTAAGATGGATTGTATTTATTTATTTGCTACATATGACATGATCTATACATATATGTTTTGTCTGTTTGTTTGTTTGTTTGTTTCATATACAATATGTTAATGCGTTGGCAAAATTGTGAATGAGTGAGAGAGAAAGTTCAGTGAATGAGTGAGTGAGTGAGTGAGTGAGGAGTGAGGATTTGACTTGGCTTTTAATTATTGTTCCAAAAGACATAAACCTTGTACAGTGTTCTAGGTATTGGTTATTAGAGGAGAAAATGCGAAAAAACCCAAAAGTGCAAAACAAATTACAGCAAATTACCAAAACAATGGCATATCAAAAAACCAAATTTTATATAAGATTGGAAAGGAAGCTATGGTTTGAATGCTAATTGGCATCTGGCTTTTCAGACTGCAAACTGAACAGCTCTGTACGTTATGCTATGTTACGTGTGACACACACATTGTGTAGGAGGAGGAATTATTTCTGTGTGTAACTCTTTTGTCATCATTCATCCCTCGCTGTACATAAATTAGGGATCATATCCCTCGCTGACTTACATGCGCTGTAACAGTTGATCAAAAACACACAATAGGTACCATGCTTCACTTCCTCCTCAGATCCTTCCTAATCACCAGCGTTAGCAAGCAGTGGGTAACATATTAAAGTCAATCTCTTTTTGGCGTTTGGTTAATTGAGTCTTTCATGTATTGAATTATGGATGATTCTCCTGAGCAGGTTTGATTATCAGCCCCTCTAGAAGCTCAAATTGCTCATTGTGTTAAATCACAAGCAACAACCCTCTCAGCATCAGATCTAGTCACAAGCAGTGCGGTACTCTAATTACTGTTTACTGACAAACGTCACAGTTCAACTCCTGTACCTGATCGATTACCTGTTCAACACACAAAAAGATATCTTAGTATGTTCAGAGTACTAGTCACTGCATACTGTGCAGTGTATACTAAATACTGCTTATTGCTCAAAAGTTTGGGAGAGGTAAAGTCTATTCTGCTCACTAAAGCTGCATATATTTTATAAATACAAAAAAAAACTTGATTTAAAATAACTGTTTTTATTTTAATATATTATAAAATCTAATTTTATTCCTGTGATCAAAGCTGAATTTATCATCATTACTCCATTTTCAGTCACACGATCCTTCAGAAATCATTCGAATATGATGATTGCAGATGCAAACCGATCCCTACATTTTAAATGATGTGTATTATTAAAAATAATATGCAAAAATAAACATTTCTACATTCAACACTAATATGCTACATTATTGTCACATAACCTATACATCTGACACAATACCTTTTTACATGCATGTTTAATTCTGTGTGTGGCATCCAGTTGTAGGTTTAAAAAATACAATTAATTTGCATTTCAAGTCCAGTTTAGTATAAAAATGTCTTTATTTTTGACAGTAAATTAAAATGAGTTAGAAATAAGAAAAAAAAAATAGGTGATGGTACTTTTTGTGGTTGTATACTGAATAATTGGTTTAATTTAATTATAATTAGAGGTCTAACCATATATATCTTGTCACAATATATCGCAATACAAAAATGCAACTGGTCCCACTTTTGAGTACACTTGTGCCCAAGAGCATAAACGGTTGTCCATCTTCTGGTATATATATATATATATATATATATATATATATATAACCACAAAAAAAAAAAAAAAAAAAAAAAAAACGTTCACTGTGGTGAATTATATGTTCTTTCATTGGGCACTATTAGACACTAATGTGGGTGGATTGGTCCACCATACCTCTCTCCCCTCGGGCTGGACACGGCCCACAGCTTCACCTCCACTAATCAGAACCTCTCATCATCACGGGCACGGCAGTGTAGTTTCCAGGGAACTGGGTCAAACTGGCTCCGCTCCAACATTCACCACTCCCGGGTCTCCTTAGAAGCACTGCTGACTGGGCTCAAGCTTAAAGCTATAGAAAAATAAATGCAGACCGATCGTTTACTCAGATGCCAAAACCCTGCCAAGCATATTCATCATTTCCCCATGCCTTTTTACCCTAAATACCTATATACTAAGAACAGATTTTTTCTTTGTTAATCTGTAATCAAAATCTGACTCTTATTATTCCTGGTTGTATTGTTCAAAATTCATTGAGGCATGTCAATCAAAAGAAAATGTAATATTTTGGTTCCGTTCTGGGTTAACTTTCTTTCCTGAGGTCACTTTTTGTTAGGTTACCTTTATTTTATTTTATTTTTATTTTAATATTATTGTTACTCCAATTGTTATTTTTATGTAATGGGTCAGATTACAATTTCTTGTGTATTAGTCATATTTATAATAATTATTATATAATAAAATGTAATAAAAGCAAAAAAGAAAAAACTTAATAGAAAGTAAATATTTTACAGGTAGTACCATACACGTTTCAAATTTTATTTTTATTTTTGGGGTCAGATTGTTATCCAGCAAGGATACATTAAATTGATAAAAAAATAAAGACTTAAAATGTTACAAAAGTGTTATTTTCAAATACATTTTTTTTTTTTACTTCCTATTAATCAAAGAATCCTTAGATTTGTTTTCTTCCATTTCTTATTATTATCAACAACATTGATGCTAATGATAAAATATGTTTCTTGAGCAGTAAATAGAGTGATATCTGAAGGATCATGTGGCACTGAAGACTGGAGTAATGATGCTGAAAGTTCAGCTTTGCATCACATGAATAAACTAAACTATATCGTACACTATTTTGAAAAGCATTTTAAAATACAAAGAATACTTTTTTATATAATAATAATTTAATAATTTATAATATAATAATAATTTATAATATCATTTTTTTTTTCTGTTTATATATATATATATATATATATATATATGAATGAATCTTCATTCCATGATGTTTTCCGGCGGTGTTTCAGGAGAGCAATAGTCCAGTTCACTACAGTGGGTGTCCCATTCCAGACTGGCGTCAGGTCTAAATGCAATTATGCAGTGTACATCAGTGGTTTTCAATCCTGTTTTTTTTTTTTCATGTCTCTCTTTTCTGAGACACTCAGTTCAGTTCATGAAGCTCTCTCGTTCACTGCGCAGTCCACTTACGGTCGAATGGAACGCATCTCAAATGAGCTGATGATCTAAATCAGGTGTGTTAAGGGGGAAACACAAAATGTGCAGAGTGTTGCACAAGATTAACTTGGCCTGCATGTTTATTCTCAATAAAAATGATGTTTCACTGAGACTTGCGTTGTTTTACTTTGACGTTAATGGGTGACTGCAAATCAAATGTAATGTATGTTTAGAAATAAGCAAAGGTTAAATTTGGACCTTTCTGCCAAGGAAAAATCTGGCAAATTCTGTTCTGAAACAGGGTCAGACCATGAGGAATATATATATCACTGTTTGTTGTACTATATGTCCAAGAGCTGTAGGGATTTAGCTTCCTGGAATAAATGAATCATCTAAATGAAGGGAGTTTTGGCAGAGTGAGGATAATTGCCTGTTCCCACACATTAATCTACACTTAATCTAGGCTAATCTCAAGCCAGAGGCCTTTATACTGGAGCTGCTCACATGATTCACAAATCTCTTGTACATACATTAAATAAAGGACTGAGAGATAGGATCCAGTTGGAGCCTATAGAAAAATTATTAGTTGGATTGCATAGATGGAATAGAATAATAGAGATTTGTTTACATCTTTAAACCTATAAGTATGAGCTATTATAGTTGATGCATACCTTAGTAAATGTCACATGCCTGTCCTGTCTTGTGTTGCACATGGGTGTTTTGTCATTTTAGGCCATGTGCTCTCGTCATTGTCTGATCCCTCCCCCTCGTTACCTGATTAGCGTTTGAGTTCTCCCACCTTTCCCCTCTTGATTTGTTCCCTTTTTAAGTCTCCTCTTGTTTGCAGTCTTTGTCGGATCGTTGTCTTGTCTAATGTCTCCCGTTACCTGTGATGTTACATGTTCAGGTTTTGTTGCGTTTCATTTGTATTCTTAGTGTTTTTCGCCCCTTGTGGGTTTTTGCTTTGTGTTTGTTTTGTTTTTGTAATAAATTATAATTTTTCTGCACTTGAGTCCTCACTCCCCTTTTTTGTAACCGCGCCGTGACAAGTGAACTAACACAGTCTCATCCCAAAAAGTCATATAACTGACGTTTTGGGACGTCTTTTGACCATATGTCAATATCCGCCTTTTTAGGGCCCCTTAAACGTCGGTAGATGGCGATCCCGGGCCGTCATACAACTGACGCTTTACCTTTAACATCAGTTAGGTGACGGGTTAGGGTTTAGGGTTAGGTTTAGGTCTGGGGTATAGAGTTAGGATCCCATAACCTCATCTACCGACGTTTAAGGGGGCCCTAAAAAGGCGAATATTGACGTATGGTCAAAAGACGTCCCAAAACGTCAGTTATATGACGTCTTGGGATGAGACCGGGTTGAGTAAACCTGTAACTGTTATAAAACAATCTGTCAATTAAACTTATATGTTTTTTAAATGGATTTTTCGCTTTGCTGAATATGATCACATTAACTAGCTACAAGCAAAATGCTTCCTTGTCTTTCTTAATTTCATGTATCCCTTCCTATTATGATCCCTCTGTGTTCCACTCATCTCATCAAGCCGTTTTCACAGAGATCCCATTTAAATCTTGCCTTTGATCTGCAGGTCCTTCACTCTGTTTTTATGTGATCTCTTAAGACCCCTTTATTTAAAAAAAAAAATCTATACTGATCTCTATTTGAATTCTGTGTGTTTATCTTAAATATCCCTTTAAGAATTTAAATGGATATTCACCCAAAAATGTAAATTTGTAAAAGTCATCATTTACTCACCCACATGTTGGTCCACACCTGTATGACTTGATTTCTTTTGTGGAACACAAAAGAAAATTATTTGTAAAGTGTCTTTTTTTTTTCATTCCATACAATAAAAGTCATTGGGTCTACTAGAAAAGGTTTTCATGTTTGAATATTTTTTTCCCCCCATAAATTCATATATTTAATATTGGTTAGGGTTAGGATTAGGTTAGCATAGAACTACGGTAGTTCTAGCATAGAACTACGGTTTCGGGAAACACAGACTTGTTGAACTATTCTGATAACGACGGAACTTGTGAATATACGCCTTATTCACGGCAGCGCCATCTTTGATTTTTAATGAGAATGAAGGCGAGGCTGTGAGGGATAGACTTGCATCTCTTCAATGGGCTGTACTGTTATTCAATGTGTTTTCAGATTATTCTGCTAATGAAAGAAATGTCAGTTGACAAAAAACTCCCGACAATGTAAGCTGTGGAAATTTGTAAGTAATCTAGCAGCTTTATTCAGCTTTTTACAGCGGATACCATTGGAAACACGGTAAGTCTATCCCTCACAGCCTCACTTTCATACCTGTCATGGCGCTGCTCTGAATAAGGTCTATAGTTGGCTAATGATGCTTTTGGGAAACACACCGCCGTCTAGTTCCTGTCTCTATGAAGCCCCTCCTTCTGAAAACGGAATGTGCTCCGATTGGTCGGCTGGATCAGTGTGTTGCGATTGGTCAACCTCTTTGAACGTGTTTGGGTAATGTCAAAACCCCTTGCCATGACCGTGATTTTCAACACACGAGTAACGCAAGTCAACCAGGCCTCTCCCCTTTATTTTGCGTGTGTCTTGGGGAGGAATTATTTAAATGAAGAATATTGTGACGTGCACGTTCTCTGAAGAAAACTCAAGACTACAATAGAGGAGTTTCGGGGAGTTCAGAAACAGTGTGCACTGATACAGAGAATAACTCCTTTGGAGTGGCTCTGTGTTTTGCAACTTTGCAGACACACTAAAGTTAGTTGAAAATGTCAAAAAGCATTATAGGCCTTCTTTAAATTTAACAGGCACAATATGTGAGTCCATCATATAATGAACACATCTGTAATGTGTCTCTGTTTGCTTTGAGTTTGAGCATTGCCAGATCCTTGCAAATATTGAGATGTGCCCCCTGCTTCTGCAGATATATGACGTGTGCTCGATATTTATGGGATCGCTCTCCCTTTCTCTTGCCCCTCTCATTCCTAGCGGGTAAACGTCTGTGAGCCCTGTGCTTTACTTTTCCGCCCCCCTCTCACTTCAGCTGCTATCTGTCTGCTCCACAGACACAGGAGAAATGTGTGCCGTTGAAAAGTCTTTAAACCTGTTAGAAGCAAAACATATGGGTGGGATGATAATAACATCTGTACAAGTGAAGTTAATTTAATTCTCAAAATAAATGTAAAATATAAGTTTTTCTAACATACAGTTACTGCTACCATTTCATCCAGTGTTGCGGTTCACCCTGTTTGTCTTTTGTATTTGTAGTTTTGAATTTATTATATAGTACTGTTTTTTTATATTTATTATTTATGTTATATATTTTACATTCTAGCGAGGTCGTGTCAAAGTATATTTAGATTAGAATTAACTCTAAAAAAATCAGTGAAAACAGTAATTTTGTGAAATATTTTTTACAATTTTAAAATATTTGAATATCTTTAATATCTTTTTGAATTTTTAAAAAATGTAATTTATTTCTGTGATGCAAAGCTGAATTTTCTCCAGTCTTCAGTGTCACATGATCAGAAATCATTCTAGTATGATGATTTGATGCTCAAGAAACGTTTATTATTATAATCAATGTTGAAAACAGTTGTGCTGCTTAATATCTCTGTGGAAACCGTGATACATTGTTCAGGATTGTTGGATGAATAGAAAGTTCAACATTAATTTGAAATATAAAACTTTTGGAACATTATAAATGTCTTTACTGACACTTTTGATCAAATGAATGCATCCTTGCTGAGTAAAAGTATTCATTTATATAAAATATAAAAATCTCACAACCCCAAACTTTTGGACATGGGATAAAGAGGATTTTAAATAGTAAATTATTATTTTAGTACCATTAATAATAACACTGTTATTAGATTTTTAATAACACTGGAGTTGGATGGTGAGTGTAAAAATGTCCTTTGTGCTTTCATGTGAATAACATGACACTAAGCAGGACATGTAGTTGATGGCCACGCATGTCAGTTAGATTTATATCATCTATATTCTTCATCTTCATTGATATATCTTCTTCATTTCTTTTTTCGTGTCCCCAGACGCCAGGTCCTGCACAGCAGGGGAGTTCCAGTGTCGTAACCGTAAATGTTTAGCGCCGGTCTATGTGTGTGACGGTGACGACGACTGTGGAGACGGCAGCGATGAGGAGAAGTGCTCTCCGCCCACCTGTGGGCCGCACGAGTTTCGCTGCAACAGCTCCGAGTGTGTTCCTCAGCCTTGGACCTGCGACGGAGACCCCGACTGCTCTGACGGGTCTGACGAGTGGGCGGTGCGATGCGGGGCTGGGTCCGGTCGACCGGTTCCTCCACCCGCCCGGAGACTGCAATGCAGTGCTGGAGAGTTTCGTTGCGGCAGTGGGGAGTGTGTGAGACTGACCTGGAGGTGCGACAGGGACCCTGACTGCAAGGACAAGTCGGATGAGGTGGACTGCCGTGAGTGTGCACCATCACTTCTCACTGTACAACATAGTAGCTCCCTTTAATTTGACAATAATTTGGCAGTTTGTCAACTTGTGTTTTAGTTGGGATTCATTTTAGCAAATCGATTGGTTCAGACAGAGAATAGCAAATCGATTGGTTCATTCAAATATGTAGTTGTGCATCGCAGTTGACACATTTTTCACCTACTGAACTTGTTGGATGCGGCATTGATATACAAAAAAAAAAACAACAAAAAAAAAAACACTTGGCATCACCACCACATTTATGGAAGAATATCAGCAGCAGTTCTCCTTATGAGGGCCACACGACCCCAACAATGTTTCTGAAGGGCACGTCACACTGACATGCTCCGATGGGAATTCAATTTCCTCAGATATTGTAAGGTTTCACCAAAGATGGAAAGCGACAGTTCTAGGCAGATCATTTTTTCTGACTCTCTGCCATTTATTATTAATTCCACCCACACAAAGACAATTCTTATTGTGGAAGCCATTATTGCCATGTGAGTCAAAGAATTTGGTGGGAAGACGGACTTTAATCCAGTTTGACAGTGATGGAAGGCAGCACACACATTTTCATGCACGTTTGCAGTATGTCAGCCAAGTGTTTGTGCATTTGTGTAGAGTACAGTATGTTTCTGAGCTTACAGTGCATTTAATACATAGAAAGCCCCCTAAAACATCCTAAGGTTAAATGCTGTTCAAGGGTGATGCTCGAGGATGTACAGTAGCAACTACCCAGCACAACCAATTTTTTTACAAATTTGTAAAAAAGGATTTGGCATACAACTACAGAGGAGGCATGTATAGTAGCCTTTGATATTACGCAGTTTGGGTAAATAAAATGTAATTTTTTTATTCAAATAATGGGATATTTGAAAAACCTAAGTTTCTCACGCATCAGGCAAGTGTGATTGAGCTTCTGCTTACCATAAATTGAATCTGTTCATCATACAACATAATTGCGTCTCATCAGAAGGCTTGGATTAAACCACTTGATTCATATGGTTTTCTAAATATCTTTGAAGATGAAATAAGTCTTATGGGTTTAGAAGAATAGCCCTTGAAATAACCCTTCACTAAATTCCATAATTAATGTTTTCAAATAATAATTCAGTTTCTACCGAGACATCAGATATTAGGCTAATAAAATATTTGCTTAGTTATCACTAAAGTTGGCTAACTTGTTGACATGAACCAGGACCTTTGTAGTAACCTTCATAGAAATCAAAAACCAAATATAGTTTATAACCAAATTTATATACATAGTATATAAAACAATGTTTTTTTTTTTTTGCCAAACATATGTTGCATAAACAGTCATTCACATATTTTTTTGATAAACCAATGAATTGTTTTGTTTTTTCTTTTGGATATTTTATTTTTTCTTTGGATTTTATGTATACTGATTTAGCGTTCACAAACCAAAAGGTTGTGATTAATCATAGCAAATGAAGTATGGCATATACAGAAACAGCTGCATCACATTAATTTCTGAGACTTAAACAAGTGAGTTGGACAAGTCACATCTGAAGCCATTTTAAAAAGCTGATACATGTAAATCTGAATTTCTAAATTAATGCATTTCTACTGCCTGGCACTAGTTATTGCACAATTTATTTTCATGCCAGCAATGACTTTGATGTGCATCAGAAATCAGATTTGTCAAAATTCTGTCACATCATCTCCGCATCACATCATTCCCTCAAAGCTTGGAAAATTCACATGTCACATCTCCGCTGTCGTGCTCGTTCCCCAGGCACCTCTGACAGAATAGAGCCTCCACAAGGTGTTCGTTATCTAACATAGCAGAAGAGCGTCTTTGGTAAACAAACAAGATCCCAGGAGTGTAAACCGACCTCAAGATCCCAAGAGTCATTGGAGAGAGACAAGGTGCCCAGGAGAGGCCCTGTTTTTAATTACGAGGCATTTTCATTCTCTGAGGTTGACTTCATGGGCCGGATAAGTTCACAGAGTGCTTGTTTTAAACCTGCCTCCTCTTTCTTCATTCCCACTGTCAAGTAACATCCAGGTCAATTACGATGTCACTTTGCCCAGGCCGGAGGGAAAACGGGCATGCAGAGGTTGCTAGGCAACTTGAGCACATGTCCTTGAGCATCTTGAAGCCCTTGAAACATAGGAAGGGTACATCTACCACAGACGCCTCTATAATCACATTAATCCCTTGTTCTTATGCAGTTTCAGGGGGCTTTACTCTGAACTTCATAATGGACAATATTGTTTGTGTTCTCAGATGTGTTTGCATAATTAAGCCTCTCTAATTCAAAAGCAGCTCTCCAGAAACACTCACTAAAGAGGTACAATTTAGTATTAGATCACGATTATGTTTTTAAAGGTTTTCTTGGACTTTGAAAGTGCCTTTAAACTGTCATGACCACCATGCAAACATTTAAATCAGGCCGGATTTGTCTCAAATCTAACTGCAAACAGCTTCATGTTGCCAATTGAAAATGTTCTGTGGAGTGTTGTGCCTGTGTGTTTGGGCTTCATATAAATGTACTCACACACACACACACACACACACACACGTTGGGTTTCCATGATTTATGGGGACTTTCTATAGACATAATGATTTAATACTGTACAAAACTGTCTGTATGTTCTATCCCTCAACCAACCCTAACATGACAGTACCAGGAGTTGTTCAGTTGAATCATCTTAACTCCACAACAACTACATTTATCCAACCGTTCAGAAACGTTCAGTTGCATTCTAAAAGTCTCTCAACCAGTGTCTGACTCCTGTTCGAACATACAAGGCTGTCACTTTCTGGCATTTTGGCTGCGTGCGATTCTACAGTTTTGTTGTGGCCAAAGCTCAAGCTGTAAAGGCTCCGCCCTCTTCTGGAAAGGGGTCCGGGAGCAGCAGCTCATTTGCATTTAAAGGGGCACACTTACAATACAATTTTTTTTTATTGCTCACCCCCAAATAGGGGGAACACATTCTGGGGAGCGACTTATATTACATCTTGTATTAGGTCCCCTTTAAACCCACTCTTAAAAACAAACCTATCTCAGAAAACTTTCTGAATTTTTTTACATATTCAAAAACATAAAGTATTTAGTATGATTTTTAAGCTGTTTTCCATTTTTGGGGACCAAAAATGTCCCCAGAAGATCAAACATTTCTGGTGTTACTATCCTTGAGGGCAAATGTCCCCATTCCTGAATCACTGGTTGATATATCAATATACTGTAGATGTGTAAGAATTAGTGAACTATCAGTATTTTGTGAAAAGACTTTAAATGATGATTCTGGAGGTTTTCAGAGGGAGAAGTGTGACTATGATGTGACATGCATGTACTTTAAAGAGCACCTATTATGGCATTTAAAATGTTCCTAATATTGTTCTGGGAGTCCCCAACAACAGTTTTACATGAATGCAATGACAAAAAATATGCATTATAAATATGCATTTATTTTTACCTGATTTGCTCACCGACTCGCAAATGATTCGTACAACGACTCATTTTTCCAAACCACTCCTTTGCGTGACGCTAATCGGATGATTGGTCAGATGACCCAGTCAGTTATTGCTTGTTAGCATAACGCATGATAAACATATTGATAAAGCACTGCAGTAAAACAAGACGCTCTATTCTTTATGACAACTCCAATGACAGCGACAAACATTCCACATTTTTATTTAAAAAAAAATGACATTGGGGACCTAGAGACTGCGTTGAGCGTAACTTGATGCCACAAAACCCATAAAAGCAACAATTATTAATAATACTTACAGGTTGTGATTCGGAGGAGGAAGCTGATCCATATACACTGTGGGGGTACTGAGCCCTCCTTCAGGAACAACCGGCTTGCTAATCCACATTTGAATTCATTTATGTTTTTGAGTGATTCCTCATTAAAATGATGAGAACACAATCGGGCTATACTGTTGTGGTGTCGTTGCAAATATGAACTCTAACCACCGATTCTTCACATGCTCAAGTGGCTGAACTGTCTTTGCATTGTAGAACAGAGCGTCTTCTCGACATGATGCTATTCAGCTGAAGTATTTGAATGTGTTCTAGACTTCAAGTTTACTTCAAGTTTTAACTGGGCGCGGCCAATATGCTCATGTTTCGTATCTACTGCACTACGGAACAGCTAATGACTCGTTTGAAAAACAATTCATTTCATAGACTCAGAGTCGACTCTCACTTTTGAAAGACAATACGGTGCACTTTCAGATATAAATCTTTGCAGGATGTTTTCATTCCCTTAGGGCTATATTCCACACCTCATGAACAGTCATTTTCAAAAATCCATGATAGTATTAAATATAAAATGGATTGGATGTGTATATAAAATGTTTTATACATTTTTTATTGAGTCACAGACTACATTTGTATTCATAAGGGTGTTACCAATTATGGAGCTCCAATGCATGTCCCCTAAAGATAAAACCTCATGAAGGTGTGTTTGGAGTCTTTGTGTCAGCGTTTGGCTGATGTTTGTGCTCATCTGCAGCTCTGCTCACATGCCGACCTGATGAGTTCCAGTGCGGAGACGGATCCTGCATCCACGGCATTAAACAATGCAACAAAATACACGACTGCCTGGACAAAAGCGATGAGGCTGGCTGTGTCAATGGTACGTCTTGCTGTGTGTGTCCTTTCCAAAGATTTTTGTGCTGCTTATTCAGCTAGCTGAAATGTTTCCCAGAGTTCAAATTGGTTCCGCCCTTTAATACGACACCCTTCAAAGTTTAATGAGTTCAGACCTGTCTCCCCATAGTAGAAGCGTGTCCTGCTCAAAGAGGGCTGTGTCTAAGCGGTAATAAGCTTTCATGTGTGGAAATAAATTGGCCAATCCTTTTGATAATGGCTTTTATTCAGAAGACGTGCAGAGACTTCACCTAAATGACCCATGTCTGTTAAAACGCTAGTCTATATCTGTGCACTGAGGATTTCTGAGTTTTTTGTTATGCTAATGTGAGAAGAAATTAAACAAAATTGAAATCAACTTAACAAATTACCTGCCATCTGTAAGCATCTGTTGTCTTTTTTCCTCCCATCATGCTATAGCCACAAAGTGTGAAGGACCTCTGAAGTTCCTCTGCAGGAATGGGGAATGCATTGATGGCAGCAAGGTGTGTGACAACGTGAAGGACTGCAAGGATCGGTCGGACGAACCCAAGAAGGAGTGCAGTAAGAATTTTTTTTTTGTTGTTGTTGTTGACTTGCAGAGCAAAGAATTGTAAAATGAATGTGGATTTGTGGGTTTGGTTCAGATTATTTGGTCTTGAAAGAATTTGATTAAAAATATTTGAGTTCATACTGAAACCTTCATAGTGACTTTTTGATTGTACATCTGAGACACTTTTTAAGTTTTACAATCGTTCTTAAGGTTTGTGTGTCAAGTGTTGAGGGCTATATCCAACATTCTAAAATTAATTCCCAGATATCTTTGATCAACGCTTAAAAAGGTCACATATCAAGGTCTAAGTAGATTAGATGGGAAGCAAACAATCAGTTCTCGTAATCAACATGTTGGATGCAGGATAAATGGGCAGGAATAGAGATCAGAATGACTTTGACAAGGGCCAAATTGTTATGGCCAAGCAACTGGGTCAGAGTATCTCTGAAATGGCAAGGCTTTTGTGTTGCTCCCAGTCAGCAGTTGTGAGAAACCAAAAACCAGCGACAGGGTGTTGGGCGCCCAAGGCTCATCGATGCATGAGGGAAACAAAGGTTATCTGGTCAGAGCCAACAGAAGGTCAACCGTGGCAGAAGTCACACAAAATTTTAATGATGTTAATAGGAGTGTGTCCTAACACCCAGTAGCCGCAGACCATGATGCCTATGATTATAACTGTCCACCACCAAAAGTGCCTTCAATGGACATGCAAGTGTTGGAACTGGATTTTAGAGCAGTGGAAGATGAATGCCTGGTCCTATTAGTCCCTTTTTCTTTTACATCACGTGGACGGCCATGTGGACTGTGGAATGACGACAAGCCGGTGGAGGGAGTGTGACGCTCCGGGCAATGTTCTGCTGGGACGGGCCATTCATGTGGACGTAAATTTGACACGTGCCACCTACCTAAACATTGTTGCAGACCAGTTACAGATACAGTTACAGACTTGATAATGGTGTTCCCTGGTGGAAGTGGCCTCTTTTGGAAGGATAATGCAGCCTGACACACTGCACACATTGTTCAGGAATGCTTTGAGGAACTTGATGAAGAGTTCAAGGTGATTCCTCAGATCTCAATCCAACTGAGCATCTGTTAACCAAGAAGTTCGATCAACTAACAAGACTTGAGGGATCTGCTGCTAACTTATTGGTCCCAGATACTACAGGACACCTTCAGGGCTCTTATAGAGTCCTCGGCGAGTCAGTCCTGTTTTGGCAGCAAGCGGAGATCTAACAGCACACTCATGAGTACACACTTACTAATAATACGTCACAATCTGGGCTTGAACAGGTGTGGAGAGTTGAGTGTTCTACCACTTAGCCACAGAGGAAGTAATGTTGGAGGTTTTCCTGGAGTATTGCCTTGAGTGTTTCTTTTGGGTCCAACATTACCTCCTCTTTGCCTGTAGGCAAAGTAGATTTATAGTTTCTTTTAAAAAGGTACTTTGCAAGTTCTTATCAGAAAGAGTTTCTTATCAGTTTCTTATCAGAAAGAGGTATTACTAAGTAGAGACAATAACAGGAGAGAAATAAAATAGCTCCACAAGGGGAGAAAAACAAAATCAAGTAACTAAGAACAGCTTGGGATAGGTTGGATAACTTGGAAGGACTCAGTGGGACACAGCAGGAGACACATAGCTAAGACTCAAAAACCGAGTGAGGAACAAGGGGAAAAACACAGCTGAAATACTCTACGGGAAACCATGGACAGTAAAAGAAATGGACACAGCGATCCCATAGACTATAATGGAGAAAAGTGAATTCAATTAGAAGCACTCACTTCCTGATGGCCAAGCGTACTGCGCAGGCTCAAACTGAGCTTCGCGGTGTAGATGTGACGTGTGAGCAACCTGTCTGACAGTTGTCTTCTAGTAGCTGTGCCAAGAGGAATCTGAATCATTCCCTTTTGAATCTTGAAGAGACGGAGAGCGTGAGTATTAGCTGTCCATTAGCTAGCAGCAACTTTATGACTCTCTATGGGCTTCTCCCTTGACTTTATGCCTCATCCTGTCTATACACAATCTTTAGCCTATACAAAACACGGCTTCTTCGGGGCCATAATGTAAGATACAAGGTAACAGATTCTTTCATACATTGTCATGTTTCATTCGAAATAAATAATGGACGAGTCAGATGTTCAGTTATTTGCGGTCAAAGTGACGCCAAAATGAATGGGAGTCAATGAAATGCTAACAGAAGGTGACGGCTTGCTAGCCAATGGCTGCCCCCATGGAAGCCACGCTTTCCTGGTGCTGGATTACCCCCTTGGGGGAAACAAGGCACAGGTGACCTGGATAATGCTAAAAAGGACACACAAGGAAGAGAACATGAGGAACACTGGTGACCTCTATAGGCCCGGAGACAAACAACAGGAGGCAGGATGCTAACACAGATAGAATAAAAGGTATGCGTATTTTTTTGCTGTCCGAGGGGAGAGCTCAGGGATTTTGGCCCGGACCCAGAGCACTCCCCCAATATCTCTGGTTAGGATAGTAACCAGGCGAGTGTGAAGAGACAGGGTGGTGGTGGGATGTACTGTAGAAAACAGTCAATGAACATTGGTGAGTCGGCTCTGTATATATGTAGGCCTCATCTCTTGCTGATTGGTTTGGCAATTTGAACATGATCCTCCTGAACTTTGTTAATAAAGCATAATTTAGTCAGATGGTAATAATGTTTTGGCTCATTACATGGCAAATGATAGATCAGTTTAGTGTGTTACCAAGTGAAAAGTAGTTGCCTTAAATTGGCTGAATGAGGCATTTGGTGAACAAACAAATTCGAACTGAAAAAAACAAAGTAAGGTTAGTTAGCACAATTTTCAAGACACATATTTGTCAGAAACTAAAAATCTGAATGCATCAGGTTGTATTGCATTTTTAAGCTGTTTTTAGAGGTGAAATAAGAAGATCATTCTGTTTATTTGCAACTTCACAGCAACATGCTAAAAAAGCCCAAAATCAAATGGGTTACCCAGGATGCTGCTGAAGAAATGTTGAAAGTGTTTCGTAATTTATACAGTTGTTCAAAGAAGGAAGAGAAAACAGGATTTTTTTTCACACTCATACATCCCCAGCACTATCTGGGGCAGAGCTGATGTATCACCATCTTCCTCTGATGAATAGAAGAAAAGCTTTCCATAGTCTCAAAGAATGCATTATAGCATCAAAGAGGAATGATGGCCTGTTGTGGCTGTTCTAGCGACAGGTGTGTGTGTACTGTATGTGTGTCTCCTCACCAAACCTGCACCCTTATCCTCTTCCCGTAAATGCCACCTTCACCCGTGTGCCACAATAATCGCAGTCTCCAGAGAAAGAGCTCATAACTCTGTCTTAATGGCCTCTTTGTCTTCTTTAATCCAGGCGCCTCTGCTGCTCATTTGGCATACGGCTGGCTCCAAGCGACATTGCCTTGCCCTAAATTGTTCACTTCCATGTATTTTGTCAGGATGCCAGCACCTCCTAATAAACTCAGAGAGCTAGAAAGAACACCTGGTCAAAGAAAGCGAAAGCACACTCTTTCTCGTTTCTGGCCCACATAGCCGTCTCCATTTTGCCTCATTAAATTTTTGTCCACAGAGTACTCAATATGTTCATTCAAGCTCTCAGACACAATATGTTCCTGGGATTCAACTGCAAATAGTGCAACACTAGCTTCCACAGACTGAGTCATGAGATGATTCAGAGCCTGAAAGTTTCAACGCTGTCTTAATGCTCTCTCTGTTATGTCACTCGCACTCGTGTGTGTTTTTAAAACGGACCCTTGAGAATGTTGATGAGGCATGAAGCTGGTAGTTGTGCTGGATGTATTTACTTTTATACTGCCTCTCTCAGTCAAACACAGATTGCTGGATGAAAAGAATAAAACTTATGAGTAATATTATGTGTGATTTTAGATCATGTTTCTTGAACCAGCATTCCAGGTTTTCCGATAGCCTAATGAAGCCCCAATGGTATTAAACAAGTGGAACAAATTGAAGTGCTAGACAAATTATTTCTGGCAATATGGAAATGTGTTTATTATATTACTATATTTCTATATACTTAGCTCTAGTTATTATTGCTAACTACATTGCCTTAATTCTATTACTTGTATTATTACTAATTATTGCCTGTTACAGCACAAACGACGAGTGAAATTTGTTTTAAAATGGCTTGTGTTTTTTTTGCATTCATTTAAATTAAATCATGTGGTAAATCACCTCTTGCATGTGAACAAGAAGTACACTTGATCAAACTTTTAAAAAGGGCGCTTAATACCAAAATATTATACTTTAACAATGTACTTAAGTGTGAACTACGTTTTATGTTTTCTGACACTGACTAATTGCATGTTATTTGCAATTAAATTTTAAAAAATAAATTTTTAAATGTAAATTTTTATTAAATGCAATTAACTGAACTTTAGAGTGTTTTTTTTTCTACCCACTTAAGTAGGATTAAATTACCTCTTTATATGGGAATTGATTGTTAAAAGTATACTCTCAAATTTATGGGAAACTGATATATACTTTGATGTCATTTGTTGAACCTTGTATGTTATGTATTTAAAATGATCTGTAATTACACATGTGTAATACTAATGATGAAGTTGCAATTTAGTACATGTAAAATATACTAACTATAAATGTTATATCGAATGACAGTTAAAACTATTAGTCAAGCACTTTACATGTGCTTTAGAATAGTCGACACATAAAAATAAGTGTAAAAAAGCATGATAAGTGTAAAAAAGCAATAAGTGTAAAAAAAGCATGACAGATTATTAAAACATAATGACTTAAAGTGTACTTTAAATAAAACTTTCAATTTGACATAAATACAAATTGCACTTTTCAGAAGTGTTGAGAAAATTAATGAAAAGTGTACTCTTTTTAAGTAGACTTAAGTAGCATTTTATTTAATATTGTATTATCTGCAAGTACATTTTTTTAAATATCTTTTTTTAAGTAGCCTACACTACACTTGCTCATTCAGTACAATTAAGCATACTTCATTTCTTCATCCATTATCCATTCTTATGCTTTAATACAAGGGAAATCTGTTTTTGTTTTTTATTGTGCATTAAATTGATATTTGCGTTGTCCAAAATGTCACTTTATCTAGGGTTTTTACAAACTTACATTTTAAACCATCCCTCTGTTTCTTAGGTCTGAATGAATGTTTGCTAAACAATGGAGGCTGCTCACACATCTGTGTGGATCGTCCCATTGGATACGAGTGCCAGTGTCCTGCTGGCTATAAGCTGCTGGACAAGAGGACATGTGGAGGTCAGGCCTGACTCAATGATGAGATGACTTTGACAGTAAAAGTAAAGCTGATATAATAGACTACTGCACTAATATTTTTCAAATATTACAACTCCAGGCTTATAGTGCCAAGTTATGTATATTTCAGTGTGCTGAGCAACTTAAAATAAGTTTCCACACGATGATTTAAAAATCTGCTTTCCGAGACAGTAGAAGAGATATTCTGATGTTTACTGTGTACAGAATTTTTCAAACTCAAAAGTACTTGAAGTTTTAATCTAAGCAGTTTTAATCCCATCTTGAAGTTTTAATCCGATCCCGGACGAGCCCCCAATTCTGTTACGAACCGCCCTTGTCTGGGATTGAGGAGAAAAAACAGAAATAAATAAAAATAATAATCGTGTTCAGAGCCCCGATCTCCCGTCCCAGTACTGATCCAACACCATATTAAATGTCTATTCACTATTCTGTGTATTCTGTGTATAACAGCCTCCTTTTGAGCATACAATGTAGCTATGATATTCAGCTGTCTTGAGTGAGTGATCATCTGCAGTGTATCCATTTACTCTGCAGATATTGATGAGTGTGAGAACCCTGATGCCTGCAGTCAGATCTGCATCAACCTGAAAGGGGATTTCAAGTGTGAATGTCACCCGGGGTATGAGATGGACCCCGTAAGCAAGACCTGTAAAGCTGAGGGTAAGATAAAAACAGATGTTTATGATGGTTTAAAAAAAAAGCCTAAATTAAATCTGTTAATCATATAAAGCGATCGTGTCTCTTCAGAAATTTTGGACTAAACCACTTAATTATGGATTAGTTTTACTATCTCTTTATGAACTTTTTGAAGCGTTAAAGTGGTGGTTGCGTAGACTGTCAATGGAGGGACAGAAATCTCTCAGAATTTATTAAAAATATGAAGATGAACAAGTCTCAAGGGTTTGGAACGACATGAGGGTGAGTCATTTTGGGTGCACGTCCCCTTTAATACAAATGTGACAGTAAAGACATTTATAATATTACAAAAATATATAATTTTTTTTTTTTTTTAAATGCTGTTCTTCCTATTCATCAAAGTCACGGTTTCTACAAAAATATTAAGCTTCACAAGTGATTCACACTTCTATAATAGTAAGAAATGTTTCTTGAGCACCAAATCACTAAACATGTTAGAATGATTTCTGAGGGTGTGTCATGTGACACTGAAGACTGGATTAATGATGCTGAAATGATTTAGCTTTGAATAAATTATATAATATTTCAGTTTTCACTCTATTTCACTCTATCTAATATTTCACTCTAAAAAATGCTGGGTTGTTTTAACTCAATTTTGGGTAAAATATGGACAAACAAAAACGGCTGGGTTAAAAATGTACTTTAAGATGCTAACCCAATTACTGGGTTTGTCAATATTTGACCCAAATTTGGGTTGAAATAACCCAGCATTTTTTAGAGTGTGTATTTCTTGATAAAATAAATGCAGTCTTGGTGAGCTATAGTATGTGTAATACACATTATGTCGGATAAATAAATATATTCAAATGCATGATATATTACATATTATGTATACATAATGTATTTAATTTTTAAAAATAAACTTTGAATTGCCATCAAGAGAGAAAGAAGCTCTTTTTAGCCCAACATTGACGCTTTACACTGACCCATTTCAGCTGGTCATCTTACATTAGATGAATCACAATGTATGCTTTCTTTAAATATTTTTTTTTACATTTGCCAGCACGTTTCATTCAGCTACTGTAGACAGTACAATTAGATCTAATCACATATCTGCTACTTCCTGTGCCATCTATGGCTCATCAGCCTTCAAGAAGAAGACACAGTCCCGGGGCACTCATAGTGCGTGTGTGTGTGTGTGATGTAGAGATCTAGCTGAAGAAATGCAATGCTTAACAATTTTTAAGAAGGATAAAGATAAGTGAATCCCACAGTGGGCAAGTGCTTCTCTTTCTGTGAATGGATTTATTGTGATCTTTATGTATGCTCTCAATCTACAGTAATGTAAATGTAAATGGAGAACTCCGGCACAAAATGAACCTTTGGTCTAATTACACATTGGTATAGTCGACCGTTCTCTGAGATTTGTTTTCATGATAATCAAAATCGAATGTAAAGAGTTTTATCTCTAAAAACTGTTTAGCGCATACGCTATATGCTGGCATTTAATAAGTAAAAAGAAATCGCTAGTTACTCTTTACTTAGATACAACTAACAAGGCTCAAAATAGCCTCACACTAACACAGTAACATAGGTTCATTTTGCACCGGAGTTCTCCTTTAAAGATGCCATTCTCTCTCTAAATGGCTTTGTGCATTTGTTATCATTAGCAGACACTGCTTATGCTGACTGTCACTTATGAATCATTGTGTTAATTTAACGTAGTTCTACAGGAATATTCCGGGTTACATGCAGGTTAAATTATATCAGCAGTATCTGCGACATGCTCCTGATTGCCTCTATAACAGTTTCGAATTTATTTGAGTTGTGAATATGAGTTTATAGTTGAAATTAAATGAGATGAGATGGAAAGACAGTGTGAATAATTGCAAGATACATCTTTCCAGTTTCAAGTTGCCTTTAAAGATCATTAAATGTTGTTACCTTAATTTGTATGCATCCAAATGATTGTGACAACTATTTGACAAGTGGCAAGACAGATTACATACATGTGTGTGAGTACACATTTTGTAATAAATTATTTTATTTATAAAAATAAATCCTTAAATAAATCCTTATGTCTTTAAATAAATATTATTTATAAAGTAATATTAAAGTATAAATTTAAAATAATATATTTTAAGATAAAGTAAAGATCATTTGCAAATTTCTGAAGATATAATCTCTCTGTTTCAAACCTAAATCATCTGTTACTCTCTGTGATCATCTGTCCTTGCATTTTTATTTATTTATTTTTTTTTTTTTTTTAGGAAAAAGCCCTTACCTGATGTTCACGAACAGGCACGAGATCAGGCGTATTGACCTGGTGAAGAGGGACTACACACAGGTGGTTCCTACTCAGAAGAATGCTGTGGCCATTGATATAGACGTCGCTGCCAACCGCATGTTCTGGTGTGATCGTTTTCAACGCAAAATATACAGGTGACCTCATATTGACCTTTCAGTTGTGCTATAAATATGAAAACTGTTTGGCTGTGCACTTAAAAGGGAGCCGTGGCCATTACTATGAGAGCCTGGCTTTATTTAACAGTAAATTGCTGCTTCACATGCTTGTGATGTGTTAATTATTTTGAACTCAGGAGATACGGCTCCATTTATTTACATATCTCTCCCTCACAGTTACTCTCTAGACAGCACACCATTGAAATCATTCTAATGAGATGCAGAGAGGCAGAAAAACAGCACTTAAGAAACATTTCAACCGCCATATTACATAAACAAAGATTATGTGGGTGTTCCATTCAAAAGCTTGTGTTCTTTGAGAATATGTATGCACACTGTAATCTGCAAAAGTCCAAGGTCTTATACTCACCAAAGCTACTTTTATTTGATTATTGTCTATTTTAATAAATATTATTGTAATTTACAATAAAATGTCTTCAGTCACATCCTTATGCTGAAACATCCATATGCTGAAAACAGTTGTGCTGTTAAATATTGTTGTGTAAACTATTATAAAAAAATCAGGACTGTTTGATTAATAGAAAGTTGTTGTTTTTTTTTTTTTAATAATAATGATATATTACATATTATTGTTTTTATTTACAGTGGGGCCAAAAAGTATTTGGTCAGCCACTGATTTAGCAAGTTAAGTAGTTCTCCTACTTAATAATGAGAGAGGTCTGTAATTTTCATCATAGGTACACTTTAACGATGAGAGACAAAATAAAATAAAAAAAATCCAGGAAATCACATTGTAGGATTTTTAAAGAATTTATTTTTAAATTATGGTGGGAAATAAGAATTTGGTCAATAACAAAAGTTCAACTCAATACTTTGTAACATAACCTTTGTTGGCAATGACAGAGGTCAAACGTTTCCTGTAAGTCTTCACCAGGTTTGCACGCACTGTATCTGGTATTTTGGCCCATTCCTCCATGCAGATCTCCTCTAGAGCAGTGATGTTTCGGGGCTTTCGCTGGACTTTCAACTCCCTCCACAAATTTTTAATGGTGTTGAGGTCTGGAGACTGGCTAGGCCACTCCAGGACCTTGAAATGCTTTTTACGGAGCCACTCCTTCGTTGCCCGGGAAAGTGTGTTTGGGATCATTGTCATGCTGGAAGATCCAGCCACGTTTCATCCTCAAGGCTCTCACTGATGGAAGGAGGTTTCGGCTTGAAATCTCACGATACATGGCCCCGTTCATTCTTCCCTCAACATGAATCAGTTTCCTCCCCCATGCTTCACAGTAGGTATGGTGTTCTTGGGATGCAACTCTGCATTCTTCTTTCTCCAAACACGACGAGTTGAGTGTTTACCAAAAAGTTCTATTTTGGTTTCATCTGACCACATGAAATTCTCCCAATCCTCTTCTGGATCATCCATATGCTCTCTGGCAAACTTCAGACAGGCGTGGACATGTACTGGCTTAAGCAGGGGGATGTGTCCGGCACTGCAGGATTAGAGTCCCTCTCGGTGTAGTGTGTTACTTATGGTAGCCTTTGCTACTTTGGTCCCAGCTCTCTGCTGGTCATTCATCAGGTCCCTCCGTGTAGTTCTGGGATTTTTGCTCACCGTGCTCATGATCATTTTGACCCCACGGGATGAGATCTTGCGTGGAGCCTCAGATCGAGGGAGATTATCAGTGGTCTTGTATATCTTCCATTTTCTTACAATTGCTCCCACGGTTGATTTTTTCACATCAAGCTGCTTGCCTATTGTAGATTCACTCTTCCCAGCCTGGCGCAGATCTACAATTTTCTTCCTGGTGTCCTTCGACAGCTCTTTAGTCTTGGCGATGGTTAAATTTGGAGTGTGACTGAGGCTGTGGACAGGTGTGTTTTATACAGATAACGGGTTCAAACAGGCACCAATAATACAAGTAACGAGTGGAGGACAGAAGAGCTTCTTAAAGGGTCACTTCACCCATTTGCATTAAGCTTTGTATCTTTAGAAACCCAGTCATATTTTTGAATGGTCATGGTTTATTCCCTTATTTTCTCCTGATTTAAGTGTATTATTTCCTGCTTATCATGACGTAAAAATCATCATTTTGCGTCACGATCAGCAGGAAGTCATATTTCATTAAAATCTTTTAGACTACAAACATTAGCTCATTATTATTCCAGGGCGTGGGACCCACTCAGCCTACAGGCCTATAACAGATCAGTGGGTGGGACTTCACTTGCAGAAACTGAAATCAATATCTGCCATCTTGTTTGGAAGCTAAGCTAACAAGCTCTGTGGAGATAGTAAGTTATGACAATAACAGAAGAAACTAAACATGATATGGAAGAAGAGGATTTTGAAGTTCTGCTGCTCAGATCCGATGTTCGTGGCTATCTTTACGAGTCGCAGTATAGTTTAGAGCAGCAGAGGCTGATGGAGGAACAGGAGGCGGCTGCCTGTCGGTCGAGGAGCCGGAACTGGGTCGAGCTCGGCGGCCTGCTGTTGCTTGTACTCTAGCTACGTGCTACGGGGAGACGCGAGACCGAAGTTACAGGTCTGTGAGAGCCAGAAATCTTGCTGGTTTGTCGGTGACCTAATACTTCTTTATTTTCCACCATAATTTACAAATAAATTCTTTAAAAATTCTACAATCTGATTTCCTGATTTTTTTTTTCCCATGTTGTCTCTCATAGTTAAAGTGTACCTGTGATGAAAATTACAGACCTCGCTCATTATTCTAAGTAGGAGAACTTGCACAATCAGTGGCTGACTAAATACTTTTTGGCCCCACTGTAAATATGTGTGCTTTTAACACTTTCATCAGAAAAACTTTGAGTCTCTGATGTATCACACAGAATCTTGGGAATAAGGCCATGTATCCACCAAAGCGTTTTTCCACACGCCTGGCATACGTTTTCAATTGTTTTCAATGGGAGCGCCGCGTTTTTTAAACGCCCAAAGCACGGCGTCTTCAGCAGAGCGTCTAGCGTTTTCAGCTGGATAAAAGATTTTTTTAAGATTTTTGTTGGACACACGGCCTAAAGTGTCCATCATTTGATCCCTTTAAAAAAGTTTTTGGCTTCGAAAAAGTTTTTTTTGCAACAATACTGCCATTACCATGCTTGTTCTCCCTTCAAAGTGCCCCGTGTAGGCATAAGGTCAAATGTAATACAGGATATATTTTGACTCTCACCATTTAGCCCTGTGTCAAATTCATTTGAAACTCCCAAAGAAACTCTTGACAAATTTTTTTACAGTCCATCTCTTTCCTCCTAATTGCACATTCCATTTGATCTGGCTAATTGGGGACATTCACTTTCCTAATAATAGACACCTCTGCGGCTGCACAAAATTATATGGTATCTTATTAAATGGCAGTACTCTGCCCCTGCCCTCTCTCTCTCTGTCTGTCTTCTGTCTCTTTTGGACTTATAACTGAGGATAAAGTGCAAAGTCATTAGCCGTAGCTACTCCGCTGTGAGCTTGAACTAGTTTGGGATGATATGGAAGCTGATAATTGAAGGCTATGAGGGTGAGTTGGGGCATTACTTCATTGAGACACCTATGAACACGTCAGATGGTGTGAAGATCATGTGATCTGTGAAGTTTAGTTTGTGTATTAGAAAGCGATTTTAGACAATCATAACATATTTGATTGAGAGTTTTTTTGAACCAATGAGATTCTCATCAAGTGTCAAAATTATTATGTTTATGGTTATTGCTGATTACGGCATACTGCAAATTACAGTATATACTATTTTTTTGTGGATGGAAAAAATTATGCAACATGCAAAAATAAACTTTTCCAACTGTAGTGAAAAAAAACGTAGCGTAAAAAAAAAAATGTAGAGACCCCAACATTGGATTGGGAGTATTTTTACATTAATTTTGGAATAAATGCTGGATTGTAATGAAAAAAAAAAAAAACAGAAGTAAATACAATTTCTAAAATGTATAGTCACTGATGTTACATTGACAGTGCAAAAAAGTCATGTTACAGTCACTTATAGCTTTTGTGTGCTTTTGTACAAACACTGTTAAAAATAAAAGTTCCATTTGCGGGTTTTCATAGCAGTGCCATAGAAGAACCTTTTTTTCCACTTAAAGGTTCTTCATGGAACCAGCATATATTAAAGTGTCAGTTCTGAGTCATTTTCAGGGCAGTTCTGAAGAATTCTAGGATGTATGTGAACACAAATGTTCATTTCTGCTGTGATCCAGGTTAGATCTTTGTCGACAGAGGATTTTTCCTCATTCTGTCATGATATATATAAAACAATCACAACTGAAGTTATTTGATTTGACTAGTGGACCCAGTGTGTCTAATAGCAGAACCTCTAATTGTCTGCAGCGCTTATATCCACGAGGCGAGCGACCCATCTCGACACGTTACTCTGATCGACTCGGATCTGCATTCCCCTGAAGGGCTGGCGCAGGACTGGGTTCAGCACAACCTCTACTGGACCGACTCGGGCGACAGAACCATCTCTGTGGCTTCAGCGGATGGCAGCAGGAGACGCGTGCTAATCAACACCGATCTGAGCGAACCACGGGCCATCGCTGTGGATCCAGAGAGAGGGTGAGCACGTACTGTATCAGACTCTACACTGCCAGTCTAAAAAACAAAACCTCAAAAGGCCAGACGGCCTTTAAAGGTCACTGAGTTGATAAGAGAAGCTTTCAGTGACATACACATGGAGGCTGTGGAGTATAACAGAGGAAATGTTATTGAATTCTACTTATCAGTAGAGATAACCTGACCACTCATATGAATAGCTGCAAACATGCTGTTGTTTAATCACAATAGTGAATGGCACAAAATAGACAAACCTAGTTTAATAAGTCATTTAAGACTCTTCTGCGATTACCTTCACCTCTGACAAAAAAAAGAGTGTCGACAGTGAAGAGAAAAATCGTTTAATGATCTAGTGTCAAATAAATTTGATCTTTGTGTTAATGTTGGTTTAAATTTGGTTTTGAAATACCATTTTCAAGAAAAGTTTAAATGTAATGACTAAAAATGTTATGTAAAATGAACACTCGCCAAGCACCAGTATTGACAAGTAAATGAAACGGTGCTAATCGCCAGTTGGCTGGTAACAATTTTATGAATTCTAACAATGTCATGTTGTGAGAACATGAACGTGAACAAACATGAACAGTTGGCGGGCCAGCGCTGCATCATCATGGGACAGTTGTCACAGGACAGTTGACGGGCGAAAGTCACGAAAGTTTAAGCTCTGCCAATTGCAATATTTAAGCAAGGGGATGCGAAAGGGAACTCATTTCGTCACTCACTGTCTGGGAAGTTTTCTGTTAATTGAATTTAAGCTCAAATAAAACATATAAATATAAATATTATACGAATAACTTAAACTTAAAAATCCTAAGAGAAAATTAGCAATTGGCAACTAAATAAAATAAAAAAAGTTTAAATTGAAGTACTAAAGTTACTAAAACTGAAATACTGAAAAATAAATTCTAAATTAACTAGAAACATAAAACATGTATATGACAAAAGCACAAACTTTAATAAAAATGGAAAACATAAAAAATATATTAGAATTCAAATCATTAGTATTTACTAATAAAGCAAATAAAGAATACTAATTAATAAGGTTGTCTTTTCAACCATTACATTGTTTTAATGATGCATTTCTATTCATTTTGGCATCGAAACAGTTGTACCCTGACATTTTCAACCCTTCCAAAAAATATATCAAAATCAATTTGTATTCAAGTCACTGTATTATGAGAATCACATACATTTTTAATTACTGTCAACATGCAACTCAAAGCATTTTTACTGTTATCATGCCTTGTTGGATTTATGGAGGTTCAAACAAAGCAGCAGTAATGATTTTTAATTTTATTTCATTTTTTTCTGGTGAACACTTTGTCGTCACAGGTTCATGTATTGGTCTGACTGGGGCATCAGGGCCAAGATTGAAAAGGCTGGCATGAATGGTGTTGATCGGCAGGTGTTGGTGTCTGAGGACATTGAGTGGCCCAATGGAATCACACTCGGTAGGAATTATGGACGTCCTTCCTTACTGTTATTTGCTCTCTAAATCTAAACCATTTGAGCTTAATGCACTCTGATGAATCAAGGGTGATCTCTAGTGTCCAGGATCTTTGACAGTAGTGTTGTGTCTCTGAATGCAGATGTGGTTGGAAAGCGCTTGTACTGGGTGGACTCAAAACTACACCTGATCTCCAGTGTGGATTTAAATGGGTCCCATCGTAGAGTCATCCTGTTCTCCAGCGAGAGACTCGGCCACCCTTATGCCCTCGCTGTGTTCGAGGTGAGTGAGCCTCCTAAATACCTGTCTTTGTATTCCTCTATGTTTGTTTACATGTGATCAGCTAGTCGGTAAATGTGCGTTTGGTCAGTAACTTATAGCCGAGTTGGCATAAAAGCCTTTCTTATTTTCTACTTTGATATTTATTTATATGGCAGCATTTTCAGAGCTGCAGGACTTGATTTCTTCAGAATGGTAAATGATAAATGGACTGCATTTAAAGAATATAATTAGGGAATATTCAAATTAATTAACCAATCAGTAATGCCCTTGATCAGCTCTACCAAACGTGGGTGTTTTTCCACTAAGAAACGGACATTGTTATTATGTTTTGATTGATACTGTGAAGCTGCTTTGATGCAATCTATATTGTGAAAAGCGCTGTATAAATATACTTGACTTGACTTGACATTTATATAGCGCTTTCACAGACCCAATGGCCACCAAAGCGCTTTACATTTTGCCTCACTTTCACCCAATCACTCACTCATTCATACACCGATGGCGGTGTCAGCCATGCAAGGCGCCATCCAGCTGGAAATCAAGAATTTCAGTTTTAAAGACCAGATCAGATCAGACTTTCCTGGGCAATATATCATCTATAACTAAAACATCGATAGAGGTGGCATGTGTAGGTGAGTGGCTACTATGGGCTGTGAAATGCTGTGGTAATTGATTGAAGCCGTGTCTGAAGCCACTTTAAATGTAAAACTGAATCACTGAATCATGCTCAGAATAATTCATGTACAACATCCTATTTCAGTGATGTATTGTATTTTAATATGGCACAATTCCCTTTATTGTTTTGCTGCTTAAGCTCAGTGGTCTCCATGGTAACATGGGGATGGGTTCTGGGTGGGGGATATGATAGGAAGAAAGGGGATTATAGTATTTTCACACAAGCATGGCTCAAGTAGTGTTGAGCACACTAATCTAAGATTGACTTGATCTCACAGCAGAGGCGGACTGAATGCTGAAGGGCTGTTATCTTATACACCTACACATCAGCCGCAGAATTAATGGTCTTGTTGTGGCAGCTGTTAGTTCGGACAGAGGATCCTGCTGTGGATTTCACCCCAGTAACAGAGCTCCCACACAAAAGAATGTGTGACTTTTTAATGCAGAACTTTTTCTTGGCAGCCTTATTGCTTGTGAGAGACTAAGCACTAGGTAGTTATTTGTTTTATCCAATTTGCCCTTTTTGAATTGATTTTCATTGTCTGAAGCAAACTTCAATATCTGTGATGCAAGCATGGTGAAAAGGTGCTTTGCCTGGTTCCTCTTAATTTTTTAAGTGGCATTTGCTATTTTCTGAGTACTACAGTATATTTGCTGACTCCATCTATTCATACTTTGCAGTCATGTGACTATCATCCATACCTGGCGGACAACAATCTTGTCAACAATCCTGTTAGGAATCTGTTAGGCTGTAATATAGTATAGTAGTAATTATACAATTATAGTATGCATGCAAAGTAACTGTAAATAAGTAAGTAGACGCAGTACAACAGTAACGTGTCATTCATCTTCTCATATCATATCAAATTAAATCACGTACAGATGAACGCGTTCTCGCTACCTACTGGTGAACATGTAAGCACAATTATGTTAAAATTACACGATTGACATAGAGCATCCAATCGCACAACAATTATCTGGTATGTCAACATGACATCATGACTTTTGCGTAAACATATACGCCACTTTCGAGTCAGGTGGCGTGTTATCTCTACGCATTTTGAGCTATCTGCGTGTATCCGCGTGTATGCGTATATGTCTACGCCATTAACGTCCGCGTCATTCCGCGTGTCCGTACACGCAGTCAAATCTCCAGTCATAAATGCCATTAACCCCAGTGACGGTTAGGTTTAGGGATGGGGTTGAGGTAAGTCATATATTTATATAACGTTAAGTCAACGGCGTTCATAAACACGCTGAAAGGCGATTATGCGTCTTGATAGCACGCCAAAAATGAAAATACGAATTGGCGTGTCATACACACGCTACTTCATGAGATCAGCCTGGGTATGTCGTTTGTTTACACCTCAAAACACCAACTTTTGTATATTAAAACTGGCGACATCCTGGCAAGATCCTTGATTAATTTACTAGGTTTCGTAGCTAGAGAATGACGTTCTTGCCCGCCAGCCAGTACTTGTGACGTCACATGCAAAGTATGAATTGCTGACTGTATCACAAGCCATCATGCATGTTGTGTTAGAGGGAAGACCCAATGTTTTTGAGGACTCCTGCCCAAAAACCACTCAGAACACCTTAGCAACACCATAGAAACCACTGAGGACACCCTACCAACACTCTATAAACCCTCTAAGAACACATTGCAACCACCTAGCTATGCTCTAGCAACCACCCACAACACCCTAGCAATGCCTTAAAAAACGAAACACTAGCAACACTTTAAAGATTTTGTTTGAGGGTTTTAAGTTTAAACCATCCACGGACCCTCTAGCAACCACCCACAACACCCTAGCAATCTCCCAACAAAGCCCTAAAACCACCCAGAACACCCTAGTAACGCCTTAGAAAACACCTAAGACACCCTAGCAACCACATAGAACCAAGCAGTACTATTTAAAGCCTCCAATAACACTCTAGCAACCTCCCCCAAAATTCTAGTTACCACCTAGCAAGGCCTCAAACCACACAGAACACCTTAGCAACACCTTAGAAACCACCTAATACACCATAGCAGCACTCTAAACCCACCAAGCTCTAGCAATCAACCAACAATGCTCTCACAACCACCCACAACCCCCTAGCTACCACATAGAAGTACCCTAAAACTACCCACAACACCATAGAAATGTCTTGGAAACCACACAAGAATCCCTAGCAACCACCTAGCAACACTCTGAAACCTCCCAGAATACTCTAGCAATGCTCTAGCAACCGTCCAAAACACCCCAGCTACCAACTAACTATGGCCTAAATGCCACCCACAACACCTTAGAAACCACCTGAGATTCCACAGAAACCAGACAGAATACCCTAGCAACACTATAAACACTCAAAGAACGTTCTAGCAACCAACTAGCAATGATCTGCTCTAGCAACCACCTAGCATTGCCCTAAAACCACCCAGGAAACCCTAGCAACCCCTTAGCCATGCTCTAAAACCTCCCAGAACCCCCTAGCAACCAACTAGTTTCCCTTTCTTTTCCTGAGGACATGTACAAGTCTTGTGTTGACTCTTGTGTCTCTCAGGATCGGGTGTACTGGACGGACCGTGAGAAGGAGGCCGTTTACAGCGCAAACAGACTCACAGGACAGGATGTGACCAGCCTTGCCGAGCACCTCAATGACCCTCATGATATTGTGGTTTTCCATGAGCTGAGCCAACCTGGCGGTGTGTGGACTTCAGATCAGCTATATTTATTCATTTGTCATCCTTTAATTTGACATTTCTGACTAATGGCGTACTAAATTCAGTTTTTAATACACCTTATGAAATCCACCCACAATCTGATTTCTCCCTTTTGTGATCCATCTCGCCTGCCATTTCTGTTTTAATAAGCTTGTAAGTCATTTTGACATCAGAATCTGGAAACAAAAGCAAGTTTTTAAGTCTCCACAGACTGAAGATGAAGTATGTTTGACCCATATGGCTCAGAGGCGATGGTTGTGTCGTCTCTGATGGATGATTAATCATTGTGTGTGTGTGCGCAGCTCCTGACAGCTGTAACCTGGGCGGCGTGACTAACGGAGGCTGTGACTTCCTTTGTCTGCGAGCTCCTCAGATCAGCGAACACTCACCCAAATACACCTGCGCTTGCCCTGACGGCGAGGAGCTCAGCCCTGACACACGCCAATGTGTACCCGGTGAGCTCATCACATTGTGCCTTGTGTCCTGCTAGGTGGGACATGATCAGGTCCTGTTTTAGTTTTAGTTCTTCAGGAGTTTTGTCCTAACCACAGAATGATTTGTTGATTACTTGATTTCTCACTTTAAACATCAATTGTCTTCTGATTGACTGTGATTTAGTCACAATATGCAAGTTCTAGCCTTTATTGAATTATTGAATCCTGCCTTAGCTCCTCCCTCTTTTCAAATCCCAGCGCTGATATTGTACGTTGGATTCAATAGTTAAGTAGAGGTGTGAATAAATTATAGCCATTTCATTCTTAACCAACGTTCAGTTGTAAAACAGAATAAAACTTGAGTGTTTGAGCAACCGAACACACGTCTCCAACCCATATTGCTCCGTGACGTGTCAATAGTCGCTTTGGCCAGGTGGTATTTATAGCACACTTGGTGGGACGCTTTAGATTCTAGAGATTCTAGAAGCTTATTCATAACTTTAAGGCTAACAAATTCTTACTAAAAGCTAAAAATCTGACATTTTGATTTCAGGGGGCCTTTATGTGCTCGCTGCCCCGCCCCCCCCCCCCCCCCCCCCCACACACACACACACACACTTTATTTAGGACAGCATGTTAGAGCTGAGCAAAGCTTTATTAACTTGACAACATATTTGTATTTACTTTTGACTAACCAATAACCTTTCATTGTCGCACCAGTCCAAAACGACACTGCCGTAACATCTACTGTCCCCTTCAACAACACCGCGGAGACAGGAGCTGGCTGGGCCCCAGAGTCCCCTGGAGCAGTGACTTCTCAGTCCGATAGTGTGGCTGAAACCACTCTCTCATCACTCCTCACTTCTAGCCCAGAGGATGCGGCCATCTCCTCTAATACTACAGCAGAGCGCAGGCCAACACAGGCATCCATCACCACACCAGGAGACCTGAGCAACCTGTCCCATCACTGTAAGTGTGTGTCTGTGTGATTTCACGCATAGGAGAAACCTTGGTCAGTTGAGCCTTCGCTAACCCATCCTAGTTACTGCTGATGGGTCAGGAGAGTTTACGGATTGTTTCAGAGGACTGATTTCCCTGAATGATTTTTATTAAAACATGCGCGCTAATTAAGGGGAAGTTTGTGTTATGTGGGTTGGCGTGAAACACTTTGACTGCAAAAAAAATGCAAATCAGCTGACAGCTTACACAGTGAGAAAATGCCATCAACGTGATTTGGTTACTGTTGTAAAACAGCAAATGAAGTTTCATTGAGGAAGTTTTCAACCTCCTCTATCTATCTATCTTGTCTGTCTATCTATCTACTTATCTATCTATCTATACCATATATGGTAACAGTTTACTTGAAGGGGTGTGCATAAGAGTGGCATGACACCTTCATAATCATGACATGACATATGTCATGAATATGAAGGAGGGTTTATGCATGTTTATGACAACTGTCATTAAGTGTCTTTTGCTCAAAAATGACATTTTGAATGCAAAATATGACATTGTTTAAGATGTCTTTGTTATGACATCTTGACATAAACCAATACATCATAACCTGCAGTGTGTTTGTCATGACAACTTGACATTAAATGAAGTTAAACTGTCATGTGGTTGGTTTTGACATTGGCCATCATGAGGCATTATAACTGTGTCATGATGAATATTTGTTGTGACCTCAACTACAGTGGTACACATTGAATTTGTCATTAAAAAGTTATAATGGCTTCATGACAGACCAACCACCTGACAGTTTAATGTAATGTTAACCAATAAAGCTAGGTGGTTTCTTAAGTTTGATAATTAATCTGCTATGTTTTGTTCATGACTGGTTGTGTTGTCTTACTAATGTCAAGTTGTCATGACAAAGACCCTGACAGGTTATGATGTATTGGACATCTCAAACAATGTCATATTTGCATTAAAAATGTAATAACGGAGCTAATGACAGTTGTCATAAACATGCATAAAACTTCAGTCATATTCATAATATATGTCATGTCATGTCATGGTTATGAAGTCTTATGCACACCCCTTCAAGTAAATATATATATATATATACAGTGCCACTCTTCACTCTAAAATACACAATGTAACAGACTATATACTTCTTTAATTTGATCAAATCTTTTTATTTCATAATTTAAAAAAAATTGCTATATCTATTTTATTTCAATTAAATGCGTTGTCCCATTTGTTTAATGTTACTTTGTTTGTGGATACTGAAAGCCTGAAAGCTAATGGGTCAATCAGCCACATGATCTTGTTTAAATAAATAGGTTAAACAAACGTGTAAGTGACGCTCCTCTCTTTAATTTTCTTCTAGCTGGCAATGAGTTGTTTCTCCTTGGCCGTAATCTGACAGTGGCAGTGCTTGGTGTCGTAATTCCCATAGGTATGTACATCTTCAACCTCTCTGACTCCCAGGGGCCGCTAGGGTCCTGCTCTGTGCTATTTTGGGCACATTATGACACCAGTGTTTCTCACCGATGCTCTAACTGCAAGGTGAGTGAGCCCAGGGCAGCAGACTCAGCTGTATGGAGATGCTTGTGTGTGTGTGTGATGTCTGCATGAATTTAGATTTATTCTACTTTATTGTCTTTGTGAACCAAGAAAGTAATCCCCCTGGTAATATTATGACAAATCTGACTAACATCAAGTGTGCTGCATTGCAGATGGAGCAGATGTTAAGATTTCATTTGATTTATATTTGGTTACATTTCTAAGAGCCATGTGAGAACGTTCTCAATTTGCTTCTCTGATGAACATGAAATGTTTGAGTTTTTGCCTATTCTTCATTCCCTATCAACCCTCTTTCCTCGGTTTTAGTTGTCTTCTGCTCTTCACATTTTCTTTTGCCATCATTGGTTTCAATCCAGCCAATTTAAAGGAACTGTTCACCCATAAATAACAATTCTGTCATCATTTACTTTACTTTTCGATCCGTTTTGACTGACTGACTTCTGTTGAACACAAAAGGTGATGTTAGGAAGATTGTTGATGCTGCTCTTTTCCACACATAAAGTCTACAGGGGCTGTCAGTCTTAAAAAAATGACAAAAGCACCACAAGAGTGATCCTTCTGACCCATGAACAGCGCATTCAAGTATAAGGCTGAATAAATAAAGCTGAATAAATGCCAGAATTGTTATTTTTGTTTGAACTATTCCTTTAATTTTATATTTTTCATCTATCTATCTATCTATCTATCTATCTATCTATCTATCTATCTATCTATCTATCTGTGTCTTGTCTGACTGTCTCTCTGTCTATTTTATTTACGTCTGTCTATCTATCTTATAGCATATTCTGTTTGTCTCTCTGGCTGTCTTGTCAGTCATTCCACCGCCAGTCAAACGTGTGTTAACATGTCCCCTCACGCTGTATGTCAAACACATGCAGTTCCTATTGTTGCCACAGTGGTCTTCGGGGTGCTGTGTACCGGCGTTTATCTCATTTACCGCAACTGGAGGAGGAACAGCACCAAAAGCATGAACTTCGACAACCCAGTCTACCGCAAAACCACAGGAGAGACGGAAGAGGACGAGATTCATATCGGTCGGACTGACGGGCTGGCTGGGCATCACCACCCGTACCCTGGGCCCGTGGTCGGCATGACGCCAGTCGGCACCGGGACGTGCCCGCCATTCATCGCTCTGCCTCTGGGGACCGGTTTACCAGACCCTTCCACACACTGGTACACAGAGCAACCCACCATCTCTAGTAATAAGTGAAAAGGAGACGACTTTAGAAATACTGTGACCGCAGGGAGCAGGACCGACATGTGGCTGCCAAGCTATGCTGGAATAGCATTTTATCGAGCTGAATCATTCTTAACATGGCCAGGTTTTAAAGCGAGCTGGAGAATGCCGGAGTGCAAATACTGGATGATTACTAAAGGAAAGTGTTATCATTTCAGTCCCATAATCATCTGGTCCATTTTATCATCATTTATTGCTGGTTGGAATCACCAGGCCAATCCTTTTCAAACCTCCATTATTTATATTTATCGTGTAATAATAATAATTCGTTACATTAACATAACGCTTTTCTCTGTACTTAAAGTGCTTTACATAAAAGGGGCGAATCTCTTTAACCACCATCTTATAATCCTAGAGAAATTTAACACGGTAACTGGTATTAAATTTGCTATTGTAACTAGTCTATTTGACTATCAATGTCCAGCACTTTAGCTAAAGCTGTAGAGAGAGAAAAATGGATCCTTATTTTTAACATTGCTTTGTTTGATTAAGGCATGTTTTCTAAATGAATCAACCACATCATTAAAATTAATTAATCCATTTATTAAAATTTAAATTCCAATCAATTCCCAATGGATAAAATCAAGTCCTGCCCTTTATTCCTCATGAAATACTCGAATTCCACTCAGAAATACGTCACATTATGAAAGTAAAATGGGCTGCAAATGTTGACTTTAAAGTGCCCCTATTATGCTATTTTAAAGCTTCCCAATTTTGTTTTGGAGGTCTCCTACAATTGGTTTACACCATCCAAGGTCAAAAAAACGTTCCTTTTCTCATAATATAAATTACACATCACCTCATTTCTCAAAGAGTCTGAAATCAGTTATTTCGAAGAGTCAGTCTCGCTAAACCCCTCTTTACTAAGAGCTTACTCTGCTCTGATTGGTCAGACAGCCCAGTCTGTTGTGATTGGTCTACAGCTTACACTGTAAAAGCTAATTAGTTCAGTTTACTTAATTTTATTATGCAAACTCGTTGCCTTCATTTCTTAATTGCATCAAGTTATTCTTACTTAATCCATTTAAGTTTTGTCAACTTAATTCTGTCCATGATCTTAGAAAGTGTACTCCTAATAAATTAATTGCTTTGTTTTTTTTCTATTTTTGGCTTTATTTTACCATTACAATTTTATTTGCTATCGTTATTGGTGGTACTCAAACCAGTTAAGTAATGTTTACAAGGTTTTTCTGAATAACGAAGGCGTGCCATGCAAACACTACAGATTACCAAGAAATAAGAAAGTACGTTCAACAAATTATTGGACATTAAGTAAAGTTAACAAAAAAATTCTTAGTAAGAACAATGTTAGATTTTACAGTGTACAGCGCATGTCAGAAACAAAACGCCTATTACCATAACTGAATTTCGTATCAATTCCAGCACAAGTCTTTCTGAAGTGCATGTAAAGTGTATTCGCAGTGCCTGAAAACAGCTTCTTCTCGGCATGTCAAGCATGTATACACAAACCAAACTCTACCAGACCTCAGCTAAAACTACAGTGTTTGTGGACGGGTCAAAGAAGACGTCATTTGCAGGTATTATGCAAATGCGTTATATTGTTACATATATGTAACAGTAAGTGAGACTGGAATTACTAGTTTCAGCAGTTCAGAATCTACTCTATTTCTAGGAGACGATAACTTTATTTGTCGTCCACTTTGATCTTTAACACTTTGCAGACTTTTTACATTCACAAACAGCTATATTGCATGCATAAAAGGGAATGTTCAAAATATGCATAATAGGAGCACTTTAATACCAATTTGTAATAAAATAGGCCCCCACCGCACTGCAGCTACAACTTGGCAAGACACTGAAACTGGCAGAGCATAGCAAGGCTATTTGATGTGATATTTACATCTGGAAGACGTATTTTTAACACTAGAAGTGCCAGAATTCCAAAACTACTAGAACGGCCACAAACGGTCATTTTGACCGTTAGATTCAAAACAGTGTTGACGAATAACTTTTGTAATTATTTTCGTAAACCACATTTTTTCAAAGACGAAAACGAGACGATAACTAAATAAAAACTAGGTTTGAATGACAAAAACTATGACGAAAATGTTAGATAGTGACGATTTGCGAAGCGGTCAATAGGCTAATAAAAATAATAGGACTAGCAGAACTAGTGAACAGCCCATGAAGCAAAACAAACAGCGCAGGACAGGGCAGCAGAGCTCACCCGACATGAACGGAACATCTGGATCCGCCGTGTCTGATGATAGCTGCCGTCTCTTTTTCCTTGATGTGGACTCTAACTCTGAATCACTCTCTGATGAGGAGGAAATGATAACTTGCACCCAGGAAACGTCGCTGTCACTTTCCACCTCCGATTGTTCCCCTGCATCCGAATCATCACTCGTCAAGTTCTGAAGCATCTCCAGGGCCATGGACATGGTTCGAGTCATGTTCCTCTTCATTCGCTCATTCATTTTAGACATTTTAGCCTTGCAATATATAGGCTATATAGCCTATAGATAACGTTAGATAACTGTAGTCCGGTTTTATTTGCTTATTTCTGATCAACAACTAATGTAGAAATTATTATAGCAAACACTGCTACAGAGGTGACCGGACGGACCTTTCTGTTGACAGTTGAGAGAGAACACGATCAACCGCGTGATATTTAACGAAAAAATACCGCAAAATTCAGTGCGGTCAATATGACTGTCTATGGCCGAAATAGGTAAATATGTTCATTTTTTTTGTTTTGCCTTACGTTTACGTAACTTAATTTAAATGAAAAGCATTTTAAATGAAAATACAGACAATTTTAGGAAAAGTCAGGTACCAGCAGGATTTTATTATTTTTTTCAACAAAGTTATTGTAGATATAAAATTCAAAACGGTCAAAATGACCGTTGTGGCCGTTCTAGTGTTAAGAGTGTATGCTCATCTGCAAGACATCTTTTGGACGTTTCTTGATGTCAGATGTCAAATAGACGTTTAGAAGATGTCCCAGATAGCACAAGTCTATTTGATGTTATATTTACATCTGGAAGACGTATTTTAAAGACTGTCTGCTCATTTGCAATATGTCTATAGGACATCCCTGTCAGATGTCAAATAGACGTTTAGAAGATGTCTTTAAGATGTAATGATTTGTTAAATCTTCTAAACATCTATTTGACATCTGAAAGGAAACGTCCTATAGACGTATTGCAGATGAGCAAACACTCTTAAAAATACGTTTTCCCGATGTAAATATTACATCAAATAGACTTGTGCTATCTGGGGTCAGTTTATCATGCGTTCTAAATCATTACATCTTAGAGACATCTCCTAAACGTCTACTTGACATCTGACAGGAAACGTCCTATAGACGTCTTGCAGATGAGCAAACACTCTTAAAAATACGTCTTCCAGATGTAATTATCACATCAAATAGCCTTGTGCTATCTGGGAACCCTATTGTAATCACACAGAGTCCTAATAGATGCTGTGCGGGTCAGAGCGAGTGCGTTACACAGTGAGTTCACACCGAACTGCGTTTTGCTACACATACACCAGCTGTCATTTCTGAAATTTCACACGTCTGTTTCTGTTATTGGGATTGTTGCATGCGGAACAGGTTTGCCGTCCCGCCCACGTGCATTCATCTTTCATGTTGTTGTTTATCTCCGAGTGGAGAAACGGGGAGAACATAAGCTGATAGTCGCCCCAAGGGTCTAGCATAGCTATAGGCGCTGAGCTAAAGGTTACGTAAGCACTATGTTAACGTCTAAACACATTAGAATCACGTTAACGTCAGAAAAAAAAAAGTATGCCAGACTGGCGTATGTGCAGACAGCCTTCTCAGCAGATCTAGTGCTCATGCCTCACTGTAAGAGACGTAGCGACCTTTAACGACGCTCTGAAAGGCCATACATTCCAAATGCTGGACATTTATTCATGCGGTTGTTTTTTACACAGGGGTTCCTCTGCATTCTCCTGTCGTGTGCTGTGGGAATGTTTCGTTTTGTCTCAGGGAGATGGTATAGAGACGGATCGGATTTCAGTTGATAAATTCATCTTGCTTGCCTTGCGGTGGCATTATGTACAGTGGGTTGAATCAGGATGTGATGCATAAAGAGTGGCTTGAGAAAGAGAGATTGCTTAGAGGGCTACATTGTCAATAAATATTGAAATAGAAGCTGAAATGAATCGGATTGGGTTCTAGTATTGTTGTCTAGGTCACATTTCAACCTAAAATGAAAAGAAAGATCATTTGAAGAGTTCAGATGCAAAAGCCTCTAAATGCCATTTGAAATTTTCTTCTAAAATGACCATTTTTATCAAGCTTGTATATTTAAGTTCAGTAATTTCACTTAAATGACAAATAATAGGTAATCTTCATTGCCATTTAAGTGAAATTACTGAACTTAAATATACAAGCTTGATAAAAATGATCATTTTAGAAGAAAATTTCAAATGGCACTTAGAGGCTTTTGCATCTGAACTCTTCATTTGCATATAGATTTTTTTTTATATTTTTGAATGATTGCTCTCTGATAAATCTGACAATATTATTACAACTGTTTTCTATTTGGATATATTATAAAATGTAATTTATTCCTGTGATGCAAAGCTGAATTACTCCAGTCTTGTAGTGTCACATGATCCTTCAGAAATCACTCTAATATGATGATTTGCTGCTCAAGAAACATTTCTGATTATCAATGTTGAAAAAAGTTGGAAATTGTGATAAATGTTTTTTAAGGATTCGTCGATGAATAGAAAGTTCAAAAGAACATTTATTTTGACACTGAAAGGTTATATCTTATTTTAATCTTATTAATTTATTTCTTAATCGTAAACAAATACTATCATGATACATAAATTACACATAACATTCGAATGAATACAATTTTCACTGATTTCATACAGTAATTAGTAGATTGTCATGAGAATGAGAATAACTAGGGGTAAATGTGTTAATTTGTCAATGCAACAAATCTTAATAGTCTACGATTTTCTTTATTCAAAATCAATTTAGTTATTTCTTTCCTTTGATTTTGTGGTGAAATATGACCTGGATGTGTTCTTGTCAGGTTTCGTGAGATTCACTCACTGAGGCTTTTTCCCCCTTTATACTTTATATTATGAAGGTGTCTTGAGTGTTGTATACTTTGAATACATTTTTAGACAAAAAGACAGATTTCTTTTTTCTCATTAATGTGTGAAGTAAGCCCAGCTGTTCATTCACAGATTCTGCATTCAGATGTTACCTCATTAATATGATAGAGCATCGCTCTAGGATTTCAAATGAAGACTCCCTCATAAGAGAGGAGCATTAAATATCATGTGTGTGTGGAGGGAAGGGGGGTGCGTGCGTGCGTGCGTGTGTGTGTGTGGATATTAATATGTGCATTCAGAGTGCATGTTTTGTGGTGTGGAAGTTAAATCTGTGTGTAATGTGATTATGAAATGAGAAATGTAAATATGTTTTCATACAAATACTTTTGATACACCTTTGTAAAAATGTATATAAGATTTTAGATAACAGTATTGCCTATGAACTGATTTATTTGTAATATATGATCATTGTTTTCTGATGGTAAAATATTATATTCTGCCAAAGTGTTTCTGTGCGATTCTGTGTATTATTCATTTTTTGCTGTTGATATTTTTTTTTTTTTTTACTTTTCTTTGAATTTGCTTTATTTTTACATTTTTAAATGTTCTCTAATGTAGAACATTTTCAGTGAGTAGTTTTATTAAACGACATTGTTATTGCACTATATTTTGCAAACACAAAATTCCTTTTTTTGTTCTTTCTTTTATTTGGTGCCTTGTTTTGTGATTTTTACGAACGCTGATTTGATTCTGTCTGATCTCACACTGCATAAATTCTCATTGTATTTCAAATGTTTCTCATTATATGTCTCTATAAATTGGTATAAAAATGAATAAAAAAAAATCTGCTGCCATTTGGAGTTTCATTGAAGTTGTATCTTTTAGCAAGAAATTATAAATAGCTACCCAAAGGTAGTGTTTTAATTCAAATCACACATTCTGTTCATCTGCCCCCCTTAGTTACTGTCGCAATGTCCGACAAGCTACGCTGCTCTCACACACACACACACCATGTTCTCACGTAGTGAAAAATACATCGCGGATTGACAACACGCTGACAGACAGGACAAACCAGGTTACTTTTCAGTTACTTTTGAGTCCGAGTCCCAACTCGGACTCATTGGAAAAACGTAAAATTTCCTACGCTATCTCACCACCAATTCGTACGAATTTGACGAATGATTAAAAAGTGTCTAATTCGTACGACCTCACTCGTACGAATTCGTACGATTTGTCTACTCTAAACCCACGTGATGGGTAGGTTTAGGGGCGGGGTAAGGGGTAGGTCATTCATACGAATTCGTACGAATTGGCCAATTCGTAAAATATGTACAATTTAGCAAAATCGTACTAATTCTTACGAGTGAGATCGTATGAATTGTTATGAATTAGCCACTTTTTAATCATTCGGCGAATTCGTACGATTTGGTCATGAGATGGGGTTGACATTTCTGCAAAATGACATCATGTCGCTTCTTGCATGTTTGCACGACTTTTTCAAAGTTAAATTTCAAAGTGAAAGTAAGTGGTGCTATAAACACACTTGTGTTCACTTTACAAATGATGAACATGAATCATGTTGCATTATGTTGGTTGTTGTATGTATTGCTGCATTTCGTAAACGAATTGTTTAAAAAGGCCGCATTTACACTGCAGGTCTTGATGCCCGATTCCGATTTGTTGACTATATCCACTGTTTTGATGACCTAGCTGACATCTTTTGAAAGTGGCACATTTCCGATATCTGCATTTGCACTATACACGGAGATGGTCTTATAATTGCGAGATACGAGGGTCTACCATTGGAAAAAGCGTAATGGCTAACTTGGTACGTTTTAACTTTTATTCATTTCCAG